GATTTCCTATTAACTTGATTTGAAACCTGCATTGCTCTCACCATCTTGTTTTGACTGATTTTACTCTATTCTATTTTGCTTGATAGTACCAAGTTTGAGAGTATAGGCAACAACTGTGAAGACAATAAGATTCACTATGATGCCCATTCTGGCTTGACTATTATCTTCTTTTGAAGTCCTGTAATGTCTCCAATGTTTTGGTTTTATTGGTTTTGTTCTGTACTGTTTTGTTCAATTTTATTATAACTGATGATGTAGGCAATTCTTTTTAAGATAGCAAGAGGCATTATAGTAACCATTGTTGATCACCTTGTATTCTGTTTTTATATTATGTACTATGTCCATCCTTTTGATTTGACTGACTCTATTTTGTTATGTCACATTTGGTTTTATTCTCTTCAAAAAAAAAAAGTAATAAGAACTGTGGGGGTAATAAAACCCAAAATGTATAATTGTCCTTTTAAAAAACAGAGGAAAAGAAAGTGCTCTAAAGGATACAACTGCATGTATATTTAAGTGTATAAGATAGATAACCATATTACTGAGTTTTTGTTGGATCATTGAACAGAACTGTTTGCAGTCTCACTGTTTGAAAGTCCACTTTATATGCTTTAATTTTGTAACTTGAACAACTATCTCTAAGATGACAATATGTAATCTATTAACTAGTGATTTCCTACTTTTTTTAAAATTCTGTATAACTTGTACCCCTTTTCTGGTTTTTTTTTCTTTTTCTCCTTAAATAAAATTAAAAAAAAAAAAGAATCATAATGCAGGACCTGGGATTTACTTCTGTGGCAAAAGCACTTGCCTGGCAAGCACAAGGTTGTGAGTTCGATCCCAGGCACAAAAACAAGAATCATAATGCAAAACTGAGTCATCTAATTTTTGCATATTGAACTTGTACATGCCAAGAGCCCAAAGGAACCGAGATTTTACTGTCAAGTGAATGTATTTCATGAACACTCACAGAAGACATAAGACACCCAGCCAGAGACAAAGGACAGCTTATTACTCACAGCAACAGCGGCAGCCAGTGAATTTTTGCACCAATTGTCCAAACTCTAGTTCCCAAAGACGAGGACCAGGTGATACTAGCACACACTGTGGGGTGCACTGCAGTACAGGACACTCCAGTTTAAGGTGCCTGATTCTATCATAACAAGCAGTAATCTGCTTGAACGTCTGCCCAGAAGGAGAGAGGATTTTCATTATGCTGCATAGCAAGTAAACCCACTCTTCCCTCTGAGGGGAGACTGTTTGCTGTCCACATACCCTTGAAAACACAGCTCAGGTCGAAAGTAGTGAAAGTCTGCTCCCAGCTCAAGCAGACAGAAGTACGCAGGTCAATGAAGAACCGTCTCCGGAGATATTCTTTGACCTCGCTATGGACACTTCTTAGCCCTAATAAGTTAGAATTTCTTTAAATTTTCAATATACTTGCACAACCACGTCATCTATGAATAGACTATTTTCATTCTTGCATTCATTTATTTATTTGAGACAAGGTCTTTCTGTGTAGTTCAGGCAGGCCTTGAATTCACTCTATGGCCCAGGTTGGCCTCAAACTCACAGGGGTTCTCCTGTCTCAGCCTCCTGAGTACTGGGATTACAGGGGTACACTACCATGCCTGGATTCTTGCTTTTAAATATCTATACTTTTTTATTTTTCTAATAGCATTGCCTAGGACCTGCAGAATAGTGTTGGCTAAACATGGTGAGAGAGGACATTCTTGTCTCGCTCACAGTCTTGGAGAGATTGAGTTCTGTCTTTCACTCTGAAAATAATGTTACCATAGGCTGGGTATGGTGGTGCATGCCTGTAGTCCCAGCCCTAGGGAGGCTGTATCAGGAAGATCACAATTCAAGGCATTGTCTGAGTTACACAGCGAGGCTCCATCCGAAACAAAACATGTTATTATACATATTTGCATACTGTCCTTTCTCTGATAAAAAGGTTTCCTAGTTTCCTGGGAATTTTATCATGGTTAAGGGTTGAATTTTGTCAGGTGCTTTTTCCAGAGATATGGTTTGTCTTTTTAAATTATTAATGTAATAGTTTTCTTGGATAAGTGCTCTGCTCCTAAGTTGCACTCCCAGCTTTGATCTTTATAAAATGTTTAATTGATGATATTTATGCTGAGGCAAACCTATGAGCCCAGCACTCTTGGAGGACGAAGTGGGAGCATTGCAGGCTGGAGGCCTGCCTGGGCTACGTACCCTGCACCCCTCAAAAAAGGTTAACTCCATATCCCTGCAGGAAGCCCCATTTGGACACAGCCCACCAGCCCTTTCTTTCTGTAGTTATTCCCTTCTTTTTTCTTTCTTTCCTTTTTTTGAGCCAGGGTCTCACTATATAGTTTAGGCTGGCCTCAAACTTGTGGCAATCCTCCAGCCCTAGCTTCCTGGGTGCTAGGATTATAGGCAAGGGCCACTGATTTTTTTTTTTTTTTTTGAGACAGGATCTCAGTATGCAGTTCAGGCTGGCCTTGGGCTCACTTTGTAGCCCAGGCTGGTGTTGAACTTGCAACAACCCTCCTGCCTCAGCCTCCTGAGTGCTGGGTTTATAGGAATGTGCCACCACACCTGGCGTTTGACCGAGTTTTTAAATAAGGATTCCTGAAAGAGTGATATTGAATGTTTTAGTTACAATTTATATGTCTGTTTCTTCCCCTGTGAAATATCCTCTGTGTCCTGCTGTCCAAACCCCGGTCCACATAACTATCCATACATCAATCATTCTTTTACTTCTGCAGTGAAATTTCACCAAACACACAAGGTGAGAACTTACAAAAGCATGTAAGAGGAATCATGCAGTCCTGGGCAGAAGCTCCTACACTGAGAACCTCGCCTGTGCATGTCTTCGCTGGCTGTCTGTTTTGTTTTGTGGGACTGAGCCATCACCTGCTGGGCCACCCCTCCAAGAGATGGTGTCAGAATTCAATGGCAGGAAACCCAGCTAGTATCTCGCAGAACTGCTCACTGGTGGGGAGGAATTACCACCCCTTTTGGGGTTCCAGAAGTGACCCATGCTATGAGTATATAGGAAAAGAAACCAAGCCTGTGCTTCCTCTCTGTCTAGGAATGCCAGTTGAGATCGTGAAACCAAACCGTTGTACTTTGTTCTTTGGCAGAGGTGAAAAGTTTTGTTTGCTCTTCCATGACTAGAAGTACTCCAGCAGCCCCCGAGAGCCCCCCGCGAGAAGTCCACAGTCCTTATCATGGTTTATTTTTCAGAGACTCTTGGTCACTTCCGCTTGAATTTGCAGCCTTTTCCCCAAACCCAAGCACCAAGCATGTAAGACTCAGCGCAGTTCGTCCATGTCCCACCCTCTGCTTCCAACCCCTCTGCCTCCAGCTTGCTGCTGTGGACTCATCCTTCAGAAAGCGACCTCGAGTTCCCGAGTTCACCTGAGGTCGGGGTGTGTCTTAGGTTTCCAAGGCAGGGAATGCCAGCGCCTGCGGGGTATGGCTAACGAGCCCTTGGCCGCTCCACAACACCCAGTATAATCCCGTCCTTTCCTTTTTTAATTTGAGATGGCGTCTCTGTGTGCAGCCAGGCTGGCCTCACATTCCTGGACTCAGAGACCCTCCTCCCTCAGCCTCCTGAGTAGCAGGGATTACAGAGGCACGTCCCTTTTATAACAGCCATCATCCGAGGCAGCAGCCTTGCGACCAACCACTAGCTCCAACCAGCAGCTTGCGGCTCCAGGCATCCTAAATCTGCACAAAGCTGGCGCCGTTAAGTCTACTCATCTAAATGAAACAGAGCCGGAAGTCAGCCTTCCCAGCCACACCTGCACTGGGGAGCAGCTTACTTCCTTTCCCGTGGGAGATCCTCAAGAGGCTGGGCACCAGTGCCAAAATTCTGCACGCAGGGCGCAGGCAGAACACAACCCGCGGTTGCCAGGATGCGTGGGTGAGCCGAAGTCAATAAGAGGTAGGGCAGGAGAGCTCTCGGTCCTCCTGTATCTGGCAAGAAGGACCTGGGTTTACAAAGACTACCTACGCTGCCGCCCCTCTCACCAAAACACAAAGGCTGCAGAAACCTGGGAGCCCCCTGGGGCCTGGACGGCACCGAGGGACCCCCATCCACAAGCATTTCTGACTGCAACTCTGCATCTGTCATTCCCCTCTTTTCCCCAAGAGCTGCCCGTCCCTTTAGCAACTCAAAAGTCCCTTTTCCTCGTCTAGTCACTTCTCTGAATTTCCGCTATTGTCACCTGACAATGTGGTAGAAGCTAGGATTCACAGCCATCTCTCTGAGAACCACTCATTTCCTGGGTGCCTCCCAACTACACAGGACTGATACTTGTCAGGGGATTGGCGGTCAGCACCTGAAATCCCACCACTCGGGGAGGCAGTTAGGTGGATTGCAAATTCGAGCCTGACCTAGGGAATTTAGCAAAATAGAAAGAAATTTAAAAAGAATTAAAAAGGGGGAGGAGTATAGCTCAGTGCAAAGGCCCTGAGTTAAATCCCTGAGTACAGTCAAAAAACAAACAAAAATCCACTCCAAACAAAACAAAGCAAAACTGTCAAGCAAAATGAAACTGCTCTCTGCAAGCGCAGGGACCATGGGGAACCAGAGGGAGGCGCCCTGGACGCTCAGGCCACTGCGAGAGGTCGCCTCGCCGTGAGCGGAGGTCTGTTTCCCTCCGACCTTTCCCTTCTGGCGCTGCCCGGATCTGTCTCGCCTCCGCGGGCCGGGAAGCCTGCCCCACGGTGCGTCCACGTGTGCGCCACCAGGGCGCAGGCCCGGTGGAGGCGACCTCACTCGGGTCCCGGAAGCGTGGCGTGAGCGGGCGGGCGGGCGCCCCGGGGCCCCAGGTCCGAGCGCGCGGGGCGCAGATCCGCAGGTCCTCACCCGTAGACAGATCCGGGCAAAGGACGCCTACACCGTTCAAGCGTCCCGGTCCCGGCGCCCTCCTGCGAGCTGGTGCGACCCTGGCTTCGCAGGGAGGGCAGCGGCTGAGCTCCCCCAGCACCTCGGCGCCAATCGCACTTCCTGCGCCTGGAAACCCGGGGCTGTCTCGCGAGGCGTCCCCGCCGGCAGGGGTCCTTGCGGTCCGAGACGCCCGCCCTCGTCGGCCTGCAGCCTGGTCGCACGCCGCCGGGAGCTGTGACCCTGGCCGTGCCGTCCTTGCTCGGATCCGGGCTGTCGCGAGGAACCGAGGTGAGCACAGGGACATCCCCTGCACGTTGGGGAACCCCCCCCCCCGACTTTGCCAAGCAAAATGAAACCGCGAGGGCTCCCTGGGTGTCCAGATTATACATTTGTCATCTGTCGCGTGGTGGCCTGAGCTTTGGGGCGCGAAAATTGGCGCAGATTTGTGATAAAATGACTCAGTCTTGAACGCGGGCCACGAGCCAGGATTGTTCTAGTCACAGCGCCCAGGGTTTTACACGCGCGCGGCCTCGCTGCTGCCCCTTGCGGTGAGGAGTAAGTAGTACACCCTCTTGCAGACGGGAACCCGCCCGGAGCAGAGCAGAACGCCCCTCCGCGGCTGGGAGAGCGCCTTTCCAGGGCCGGTGCATCCTTTGGGAGTGAATGGCAGATGCAGTCCCTGGCGTGTAACAGTGATCACACACATGGTTACAAGTCGTAAGGGACACAGGAAGCATAAACTTAAAGGAAAGCTCAAATAACTTGATAGCTAGCTGGGCAGAGCTTGGCTTAGTCCCAGCTATTAGTGAAGCTGAAGCAGGAGGATCAAGTAAGCCCAAGAGTTTGAAGATGGGCTAAATAACATAGTGAAACCCCGTCTCAAACAAAAAAGAATAAAAGCCAAAACAAAGCAAAGCAAATAAAAAAATCAGGAAGCATGAAGAGGTAAATAACTCTGACTCATTTTTGGTGCTTGATGCCGTAAAAGCTCTTTGAGCATGGGGTGCTGTTGTATTTTTTGCAGATGTACACTCCTCTTCAGAAAGAATCCAGGGCACCTGCCACCTGTTTCGGTTCAGCCACCACACAGGATGTGGGCAGTAGCCACCAAGATGGCCTGGAAAGAGAATGCCCCAGAAACACAGACCGGAAGCTGCCGGGCCTCTATGGAGTGGGGGACCCCACTGCCATGTTCTCCTCTGACAGCTCCTGCCTGTCTTCTAGAGGCAAAGTCATCAAATGGTTCTGGGACTCCGCGGAGGAGGGCTACAGGACCTACCACATGGACCAGTACGATGAGGACAAGAACCCCAGCGTGAGTGAAGCGCCACGCGCTGGTCTCATTGGGGAACTGCAAGGCGGGTACCTCACCTTCACCCACAGGGAAGCATCCAATATACTCCTGTCGTGTTGGAGTTCCCGTCCTCGGACTTCCTCAGGCTTCTGATGTAGCTCAGAGAGCCCCAGTGTATTGGGCCTCTTAAACCACATGGGATAGGGACTCTTTGTTCCCTGCTGCAGCTCCAGTGCCTAAATCAGTGCTGGGACCTGGGACTCAGATTTGTGAGGGCAGAGCCATAGAAGGCTACCACATGGATTCTGGCCCACAGCACCAACTATTTGACTTAGATTGTGTGTGTGTGTGTGTGTGTGTGTGTGTGCACGTGCATTGAACCCAGGGCCCTGCACAAGCTGGGCAAGTGTTCTACCATTGAGCTACATCCCTGGTCCCTACTGTTCAACTTGGGACCTGCAATAGAACTCAGAGTCACAAATGTTTCACCCTTGGGTTACACATTATTGAATTAGTTACTTAACATTTTGTGAGTTTCAGTTTATCTCTGAAAAGGGATGATAATGCCCCACAGTATGGAAGAGTCAAGATTAAACGAGATCAATCTAAATGTGGTTTCACACACCTGTAATCCCAGCACACAGGAGGCTGAGGCAGGAGGAGGACTGCTGTCAGCCTGAACTACACAGTGAGTTCAAAACAAAACAAACAAACAGCTAAATGAGATCAGATATGTGGTATTATTAGCATGTGGCTCACTATGTAGTGTACTCAATAAATGGTAGCGGCTATTATTATCTGTCTCCAGTGTTATACATGATATTTAGAAATACCTTTAACGGATCAGAGAATTGCACCTTTTCACAATCGGTATTTGCTGAGCATCTACCATGTCCTGGCACTGTTCTAGGTGCTAGATCAAAAGCCAAGTTCCTATCTGACATGTTTTGGGGTGGGGGAGCATGGCATGGAGGGGGTGGAGGGCTCTGACACCCACAGTTACTAGTGGACAGACTCCCATCCATGTGATGTGGAAGCTGCCTTCTTCCAGGGCAAATTACCCAAGAGAGAACAAACAGTCCCGAGTCCCCAAGACAGGGGCTTTTTTTTTTTTTAATCTTTCTGAGACAGGGTCTCACTGTGCAGTTCAGGCTGGCCTTGAGCTCACTTTGTAGCCTAGGCTGGTCTCGAACTCACAAGGATCCTCCTGCCTCAGCCTCCCAAGTGCTGGGATTATAGGCGGGAGCCACCATGCCCGGTTGCAGCTTTTTTATACCCTAACCTTGGAAGGGCTGTCCCGGCACTGCCCCATATTCCATTCATCAGGAGCAATTCTCTGGGTGCAGCTCGGGCTCTAGGGCATGAATAATAGGAGAGAATCAGTGGGAGTCATGGCAGAGGCCACCCTCCACCAAGAGGGGACCTCGATGGGGAAGAGCATCCCAGGCAGAGGGAGCCGCAAGTGTGAAGGCCCCTTGGGTGGAGTCACACTGGATGAGTTCAGGGATGATGAGGGACCACTGGGGCTGCAGAAGAGCCAGTCTGCGGGGGAGGGAGGGTCAGTGATTTTGGCAGGATCACGGGGTAGGAGTCCTGAAGGGTCCTGAAGAGATCCTGAAGGGCTTTATGGATCATGTGGGATGGGAGGTGTTTGCAGGAGGAGGAGTATGACCTGAATCCAGTTTTTAAAGGATGATTTGGATTCTACAGAGACCAGACAGTAGGGGAAGGGTTGAAGGAAGAGGCGGGGCTGGTCCTGCCATGAGCTGGATGAGGAGTTACAGTGGCTCAGCCCTGGTTCTAGGTGATGGGTGACAGCGATTGGACTGTGCAAATATTTTGAAAGTGCAGCTGTCAGGACTTGCAGATGCATTGGCTGTGGCCGGTAGAACCTGCTGGTTTACCTCACAGGGGTGTCTGAACCTCAGCTCACTAAACTTATCCATTTTCAGCTTTCCTCTTTCGTTCTCCCCATGACTCAGCTCCCAGGAGTGAGCTGTGCATGAGGCCTGCACCAAGTTGCTGTGGGGACTCTGTAAGGGTGAATCCTGTCCTATTCCACCTCTCCCGGGAGAACACATGCTTTCTGGTAGCTGAATGTGGCAGTACACGCCTGCAATCTCAGCACTCAGGAGGCTGAGGCAGGAAGACTGCTGTGAGTTCCAGGCCAGCCTAGAATACATAATGAATTCAAGTCTAACCTGAATAGTGAAAGACGATCTGCAAAAAACAAACCAAAAGCATCAAACTTCATGGTGGGGACCAGGTGTCCTGTGATGCTGTTTGGGTTTCTGAGGGTGCCACTGACACCTCGACTCTTATTTCTGTGCCTCTTGTCTCCAGGGGATCATTAACTTGGGCACCAGTGAGAACAAGCTCTGCTTTGACCTGCTGTCGAGACGGGTGAGTGCGTGGCCCCTGCTGGGTGGCTTCTTCCCTGGACGCTTCCCCAACGAGAGCCAGCTGTGGGCCTTGGATGGTCCAGTCCAGCCTTGGGGCGGCTTCCTGTGTGATCCTGAGCGAGTCACTTATGCACACTGATCCCGATTCTTCACCTCTTCAGGCTCTGTCCCTTCCTTGGTCCCCCTGCTGTGCCGGGTCCCTGATCTCAGAGGGGACAGAACCGCACGCCCCAACTGGCTTTGCCAGTCCCTGTAGTGTAAATTTCCATTGTGTAAATGGATGATGCTGAGCTACTGATGTGCGTCCCTGTGCGACAGAGTTGGAGGAGAGGACAGTGGATCGCTTGTGTAGCGTGTCCCACCGTGCAGCTGTGTAGACAGAGTGACCTCGGGAGCGCTGGTAGGAGGCAGTGTGGTAACAGACAGGGAGGGGGGATGCCTGCATCATTCCCTTTGCTCTTAAGATCGTCCACTTAGTTGTCAGTTCATACTAATTCTTTAAAATGTTTGTGTGTGACACAGTTTGCATACTTCCTGGCAGTTTCATAATTAGATTTCTTGCCTGGAATCATGGCACCCCTTGTAATTCCAGCACTCGGCAGGCTGAGGGAGGGGGATTGTTGCAGGTTGGAAGCTAGTTGGGCTACCTCGTGAGTTCAAGGTGGCTCTGGCTTCCCAGGGCGGCAGGAGGGAGGGATGTGGCTGGTGCCCATTCTTTCTCTGGTCCTCCTGCCACAGCCCCTGTGTTCTCAGGCTTGCATCCAGGATGCCTGAGGAGCCACTTGTTGACCCAGCACCTGATCACGAGGCGAGGGCCTGGAAACTGCTGCTTTGCCAGGGTGTGGGGCCGAGCCACGCCTGCAGCAGGACAGGGTCCTGAGACCCTCTGGAAGCTGGAGCCAAGACTGAGGCGATAGCACCCAATTCTGGGGTCTCCTCTGCCCTCCCCGAGAAGCTGGGTAGCACAATCCACCCGCACTGCCTTGCATCTTAGCCAATGACTTTCTAGGTGATCGTGTTCTGTAAAGAGTACTGGACCCACAGTCAAAATTCCGGGTCTGCATGCTTGTAATCCCAGCTCTGTGGGAGGCTGATGCAGGAGGATGACAAGTTTGAGCCCAGTTTTGAGCAACTTACTGACTTAATAGCCCTCTGGGCCCAAAAACAAAAGGAAGGAGACTGAGGGATGTAGCTCAGTGCAAAGGCCTCGAATTCACTGCTTTGAATCACCAAGAACCAAAACCAAAGCCAAACCCCAAAACACCTGGATTTCACAGTTGCTAACTATGTCAGCTCGATAGAATTCTTCACTGCTTTCGAGCCTCAGTTTCCTCACCTGCTAAATGGGCATAAGGCTCTGGTGCTCTGTGGATGCAAACAGCAGTGCCAGCCCCAAGCCCTGCTCTTCCCTCTCTGTCTGCAGCTGAGCCAGAGTGACATGCTGCGGGTGGAGCCGTCCCTGCTGCAGTACCCAGACTGGAGGGGACATCCATTGTAAGTAGCCATCCTAGGCCAGTGGGTCTAGGTGGGGGCAGTTTTGCTCCCTAGGGGTGAAGGCAATGCATGGACATGTTTGAACTGTCCGACCTCAGGAGATACTGCAGTCTCAGTAGCAGAGTCAGGGACACTGCTGATCTTATTGCACCCAGGGCAGCCCTGAGACAAAGCACTGTCCGGCCCAGGACTGCAGCAGTGACAACTTGAGAGGTCCCACCAGGGGGCTGAGGGACCCGGCTTGGAGACCCAGCCTCTTCTCAGGGCTCTTGTCTCACCCTCCAGGATCCCAGGCCTGAGGCATGGGAGGGCAGTCTGGTGAGGAACCGTCCCTATGTCCCTACTCTAGCTTTAGAGAAGCCAGAGTCGGCCTGGGTGCAGCTGGCTGGGCCATTTCCTCCCTCTGGCGGGCAGGTGTGACTAACACTTGTCGTGGCCTATCCTGAGTGAGCGCTTCCTGGCCACACACCATTCTAAGAAAGGGCTCCGCGCCGGCAAGACTTGACCTCAACTCCATTTGCAAAGCACGTGCTCTGCCTGTTTTTCTGTCTCCATTTGTGTTTTTATTCGCACGTATTTGCAGCACATGGTGACCACATTCTTCGTGGGGAGTTGGTCCAAGTGCACAACACATCTTCTTGCTTTTTACATCCCTTCCCCTCTTCCCTCCCTCCCTCTCTTGGTCCTCTTCCCTTTTGCAAATGATCTGTTTGTCTTTTAGTTTGCTCTTTGTTTATCCTCTGGGTTCCTCATAGAAGAGAGACCATGTGATGTTTAGGTGTGTTGGGGTGCTTCATTTCCCACAACCTTATGATCTCAAAGCCAAAGTCCATATTCTCAAAACCGTGGGCTTGGGCATAGACTCTGCCACTTCCCCAGCAAGAGCCTTGATTCCGTCAAACCTCAGTGTCTTTATCTGAAATAGAAATAAAAAAGAGTAGTCACAGTGTAGCAACCTGCAAGTAACATCTGCATAAGTAAATGTTCAATAAATGTTAGTAATAAGAACTATGACAACAGTTGCTATTAAATAATAGCAATTATTATTACTATTAGCCTAGGCCTCGTGTGTCTACTCTTTCTTTCTTTCTTTCTTTCTTTCTTTCTTTCTTTCTTTCTTTCTTTCGATCTTTCTGATTTTGTGAGACACAGTCTGGCAATGTAGCTCAGGCTGGCATTGACCTCACATTGTAGTCTGGTTGGCCTCAAACTTAAGATCCTCCTCCCTTGGCCTCTTGAGTGCTGAGATTTTAGGTGTCCCCCATGACACCATGCTAGTCTTACATTTGATACCCCCAAAGTCCCCGGATCAGGCAAAGTTGCATGTTATGCAGCCACTGTGAATGAAACCACAGTATCCGAGCATGGGGTTTCTTGCACTGGAACAAAATACATGACAGCCACGACTTAAAGGAATGGTTTATTTGGGCTCATGATCGCTGGCTCCAAGGCGGGAAGGCATGGCAGAGAGGCACAGAGGAGGAGAGCTGTGTATCTCAGGAAGCAGAGTGAGAAGGGAGGAGCGGGGTGGGGAGAGAGGCCCTGCCAGGCCGCCTCCCAGCAGCGCACACAGCTGTGATCTCCTCCGAGGGCCAGGGCGGGCAGATTCACAGAGGAGAACAGCACTGCCCCTGAACCACTCACCTTCCTGAAGCTCCACCTCTGAGCCCACAAGCGTTTGGGGGCCATTCCAAATCTAAACTGGAAGATGAGGATGTGTGGGAAGGGGCGCCCTGAGAGGAGACAGAGCCTCCCCATGCGGGAGACAGGAAGGAGCAATGGCAGGGAAGCTCAGGGTGCAAAGTGGGTTGGGGGCCCTTTGAGAAGCACCGTCCATCAGTCAGTCTGTTTTTCTGTAGCCTCCGGGAGGAAGTGGCCAAGTTTCTGTCTTATTACTGTAAGAGCCCAGCACCCCTCAAACCAGAGAATGTGAGTAGCCCCCTCCTCTGCTCCTCTGTCCTGCTCCCCAGTTTTGGGCTGAGATCCATTTTGCACTTGTCTTGATTTCTTTCAAGGTGGCCCAAGGATCGCCTTCTGCCTCCTTCTTCCCCCAGCCTGAGACTTAGAGCTGAGCTGTGATTTCCACCCCCACAGTGTGCCGTGGGCTCTACTGGGCCTCACGCCTTGGGCCTCAGGGGTGACCTCTTCCTGGGATGTGCTCAGCTAAACACCAGCAGAGCCCCCATGAATGAGCTTGGATGGAGGTTGGGGCTTTGTGGAGACAGAGCCCGGGGCTACCCAGGAGGGACCCGTTCTAGTTCTCCTTCGGTGCTGTCCTGGATCCTTCCCCCCCCCCCCAGCGAATCACAGTCCCCTTTGTCCCCTGTCACCCAGGTGGTCGTCCTGAATGGCGGCGCCTCTGTCTTCTCGGCTCTGGCCACCGTGCTGTGTGAGGCAGGAGGTAAGTGACTGCAAGGCCTGCTCGGTCCTGGGCCTGCCCGGAGCCCACAGTGTCCCCTGCTGCCTGCCCTCCGGGGCTGCGTACCTTTGTTTTCAGCTGTGATAGGAGACCACAGACTCAGGCCCTTAGATGAAGGGCTGGGCGGCAATTGCAGAGGGCAGCGTGCTGTTGGCGTTCTGGGTCTGGGAACACCCAGGGCCCCAGCAGAGCCCCTTGTATCCACCCAGAAATGACTCACAAACCCATTCCCAGTGCCGGCCTTGGGCCCAGAGATCTGAAGAGCCAGGGTTGGCTCAAACCTGTTTCAGCCCTGCCTTCCTGGGCCAGATTGCTGGCCCTGCCTGAAGAATCTGATTTTTTCTTAGCAAAAAGAAAATCCAAATGGCTGTTGAGTAGACATGGGGAGCCAGACATGGTAGCACATGGCTGTGATCCAGCATGCCGAAAGGCTGAGGCAGGAGGATTGCAATGTTGAGCCCAGCTTGGGCAATTTAGCAACTTAGTGAAACCCTGTCTCAAGATTCTAAAAAGGGCTGAGGGAGGGCTGGGGATGTAGCTCAGTGGAAAGGCCTTGGGCTCAATCCCTAGTAACACAAAGCAAAAACAAGCCAGGGTGCACGGTGAAGGGATGCTGATTGAAGGATACAGGCTCACTCACAATAGTTTAACTAGTAGTAGCAAATGTTAGTGACATCGATTGACCGTGTGTTGCTAGCTCCAGGCTTTGGCATGTGGCTGTACACACAGGACATCATTCGACCCTGTCGGCACCCTGGGGGCCTGGATCTCTATTGCTGTCCCCTTTTTTATAGATGAGACAGTTGAGGCCCAGAGGTTAAGTAAGTTCTCAAACTCACACAAAGGGAGGTTGTCCTTGGAATCTGCAGCATAAAAAGTTCTGCTCTGAGATTTCATAGACATAGTTTCCTACTCATTCTAGAGCAACATGGAACAGGGACCCTCTAAGTTTAAGTTCTTTAGTCTATAAAGTTAAGGTGACAAAGGTGGGGACGAAGGTGTGTGTCCCAGGCAGTGGTGGTGGGTGAGTGCTGAGCATAGTTCTCACACTTTGTAAATGTTACCTAGCGATTACAGATGTCCCCTACTTGGGAGGCTTGATTTAGGATTGTTTGACTTTACAGAGGCATAAGAGTGATACGCATTTAATAGCAACTGTACTTTTTTAAAATTTAGTCTTTTGCCCCCCTGGCAGTATATATTTTTGCTTGTGGCACTAGACAGTGGCAGTGAACTGTGTGTCCCAGTCAGCCACCTAACTGTGAGAGGAGTCATTGCTCTGCAGGGCTAGTGATGTTCCCTGTGCTAGGTGGATGAAATGCATTTGTTTTAAAAATGTCAGTTTTTTGAGTCAGGGTCTGCCTGTATAGTCTAGGCTGGCCTCAAACTGACAACAACCCTCCTGCCTCAGTGTCCTGAGTGCTAGGATTACAGGTGTGCACCATGCCTGGCAATGAGTTAGTGTATTTTTTATTTCATGATGTTTTTAGCTTACAATGCGTTTATCTGGACATAACCCTGTTGTCAGTCAAGGAGCATCTGTATTAGGAAAGGGACTGATCTCAGTGGGTCTGGGCTGTAAGCACTTGCTCTAGGGGTTGGGAGTGGAGAAGCCCTGGGTGCAACAGGGCCTATGCATGGGGTCTGGGGTGACCTTCCAGGGATGACAGGCCCTGTCTGCTCCACCAGAGGCCTTCCTGATCCCCACTCCTTACTACGGGGCTATCACACAGCACGTCTATCTCTATGGCAACGTCCGACTGGCCTTTGTCTACCTGGATAGTGAGGTAAGAGTGGCTGCATCCCTCCCTCTAGGCCGAGTCTCCTGGGCCTGAATTTGTGGCTGGCTCGGGAGGAAGTCCAAGGGCTCTGGAGCTGCCGTGGGAAGAGAATGGAACTTTCTGTTATCCTGGGGCTGCCTGTGCCTGGGTCCCCGGCGCCTACCAAGCTCCAGGCTCTGAGATTCCTGGAGCAGCCAAGGAGCAGCCCCAGAAATAAGGGGGTGCGCAGGGGCAGAGTCCTGGGAGCCAATCAGAGGACCTCTGGGCTCTTGATGAGGCTGGGTGGGATGGATGGCAGGAAGATGGAACGGCCCCACTATTTTCCAGAGACTGGAGATTACAGTTGACCTGAGAGCGTAGCTTTGGAGATCACTGAGTTTGTCTGGTGGCTGTGATGGTCTCTTCCAGGTCACTGGGCTGGACACCCGCCCCTTCCAGCTCACAGTGGAGAAACTGGAGTTGGCCCTGCAAGGAGCAAAATCTGAGGTCTGGGGCTCCCCACCAAGCTAGGGCTGGGAGTGTGTGTGGGGGTCTACAAGCGGGCATGCACCCCTCTTCCTGTGTGTGGCTGGTCTCCTGGGAGCCGGGTTGGTGCCTGTGATGGGGGATGCATGGGTAGGAGGGTAGTACAGAACTATTGTGGGTGTCCGGTGGGAGGCTCTTCCTATTCATTAGAAAAGATCCTTAAACGTCAGAGTAGGAAGTCAGCTGGGGCTTCATTAAAAACGGCCCCCCTTCCTACACCCTCTGATTACGTTCCAGGGGTCCAGTGTGGAATGAATGAGGCTGGGGCTTAGCTTAACATTTCCCTGGGAGTTTGAGGGGCAATCCTGCCCACTTGAAGGGGACTTGCAGTCTCCCCAAGAAAGCAGAGACCCATGCTTTGAGGACTTGTTCCCACGCCTCCCGACTGTCTGCTTGAGCTGTGCCCATCATTTGTACAACACTGGCCTGCTGGCTGGCACTTGGGCACAGTTTGCCCTGCTCTCTGCATGGGTTTTCTTCTCTAAGCTGGCCCAGTGCTGCCGATGGAAGCCTGTGGCCTGTTTATTTGCTTCATGAGATGGTGAATGTGTCCCCTGCATGCTTCCCGGGGAACCATGTCCTGGAGGCCTTGACTCTGGCCTCAGAGAGGAGCTAAGGTTTCCAGCCTATGAATGATTTCAGGGTGTGAAGGTCAAAGGCCTCATCCTCATCAACCCCCAGAACCCCCTGGGCAACGTCTATTCCCCCAGAGAACTGCAGGAGTTCCTGGGATTTGCTGCAAGGTGAGCATCCCCACTCCCCAAAAGAGCATGTGGGCAGCTCAGGGCCTGATAGAGGTGTGGTACTAGCAGCCCTAAGCCCCCATTTTCTCCCATCAGCAGCCTTGGCCTCTTTCTGGTAGTGGGCAGGAAGTAGGGATTTGTAGCTCAGGCTGGCCTTGAACTTGCAGTGATCCTCCTGCCTCAGCCTGCCAAGTGCTGGGATTTCAGGGATGCACCACCATGCCAGTCAACAGCTATCACTGATTGCATACTCTAGGGCCTGATGATGCCATGCTGAACACTTGTATCCTACATTTCTTGTCAAGTCAGGGCTGCAGCTGGGCTTGAGCCCTGGTACCTAAATGTGCCCTCTCCCTGGGGCCCTTCAGAAGCCCCACTGCCACCTACTTTGCATGTGTGGCTTTGTTGGTTTGCAAAAATAGACAAAAGAAGGGTGTTCTTCCTGGCAAACACAAGTGCGGTTACCCTGGGCTGGACAGTGGTCCCTCGGGGTTTCTGACACACTGCTGTCCCGTGCTGTCGCACCCTGGTGCACACATGTCCTTCAGATCATGCTGTCCCCCTCCCCATTCCAGGCACAAGCTGCACGTGATTGTGGATGAGGTCTATATGCTGTCTGTGTTCGAGGAGTCGCTGGGGTACCGCAGTGTCCTGGGCCTCAAGAGGTGAGGCTGCAGTCATGGGGTGCCCCCTAGGTCCCCTCCTAGGGGCCCTGACCAGGGTCCTGTCTCTAACTTCCAGCTGGTCCGAGTGGGCCTCAGATCCCCCAAGGAACAGGACATTCGGATGATTCTGGGGAGCCCCGAGGAGGGGCCTTAGGATTCCTCAAGGTGGGGGGGGGAGGGCTGAGCTTGGGGCAGGCAGCTGACTTCCTTCCTGGGCTGCTTCCTTCATTGCCAGAGTAGCTTCAGTTACATTCATTTATTTTCTTGCTTATTTACTTAGCAAGTAATTATGGAGCACTTTGCACTTGCCAAGCCCTTCTGGCTCTTTATACAGTGAGGTTTTAGTCTGGATGGGGTGGTGCACGCCTGTCATCACAGAAGATTGCAAATTCAAGTCCAGCCTGGGCAACTTGACCCTGTCTCCAAAAGAGGGGCTGCATTTCCTGGGGTATAATTCAGTACAAAGACCCCGTATTGTCCAAAATAAAAGTTTTTTTATTAGATGGAGTTTAGGCACAGAATTGGTGATAGAAGCACTTTGGAAAAGTTGGGACCAGATCCCTGGTGGGGTGTGCAGATCTGACCTTCTCCACCCTGTCCTTTCCGCTGACTCTGTCCTGCAGCCTCATGGAGCTCTGGAGGGTAGGTGGCTCGTGGGGTGTCACTCCCATTCACTCTGTGCATAAGGCAAGTGGGACACAGAGAAAGCAGGGACTTGTCCATCATCCCTGGACAAGTTATTTACTGAGCATCACTTCTGTGGAAGGTGCAGAGGGTTCAGCAGTGAATAGGAGGATAGAGGCCTTCAGAGGAGAGGTGTATTTTTGGCTCACATTTCAGTCCATAGTTGGCTGGCTCCTAAGGCAGGATGGCCTGGCACAGGAGCCTGGCAGACGAGAGCTGCTCAGAGCATGGAGCACAGGAAGGAGAGAGAAGATAGAAGCCAGAGGGACACAAACCCAGCCAGGCCCCACCCTAGGCCCCGCCTCTTCCAGCCAGGCTCCACCCTAGGCCCCGCCTCTTCCAGCCAGACTCCACCCTAGACCCCGCCTCTTCCAGCCAGGCCCCGCCTTCTAACAGCACAGCGCATCTAGCTGTCCTGCTGCCATGTTTCAGTCATCTTTCAAAAACCCTGCCAGTGGCCTGGCGTGGTGGCTCATGCCTGTAATCCCAGCACTTGGGAGGCTGAGGCAGAAAGATTGTTGCGAGTTCCAGACCAGCCTGGGATATAAAGGGAGCTCAAGGCCAGCCTGAACTGCATAGTGAGCTCCTGTCTCAAAAAGACAAAAAACCCCAAACCAAACCAGACCCCAAAAGCCTTGCTAGTGAGCACATGGGAAACCATAATGGGACCTCACGGGTGTCCTGGGACTTGTTTGGGAGGTCTTTGCAAGAAGCAGCGTGAGCTGTGTTGTAGATGAGAGGATAGAAAACTTTATTATATAAAGTACCAGATGGTGATATTTCAGCCTTTACCATGTAGCCTCTCAGCTCTGCCGGAGACGCTGCGTATAACAGCGCACGTGGCAGACTGGACGTGGCCTGGCGCTGCTGTTTGCTGCTTCCTGCTCTTATGGATAAGCGGCCACAAGAGGTGCAGACAGGGCTTGAGCCAGATCGACTCTTCCACCCGTCTCCTGGTCGAAGCTGTTCCCTTGGTTCCGTGCTGCTTCTGTCCCTCACTGAGCTTTCTCTGCAGGCTGCCTGACCCCCAGAGGACCCACGTGATGTGGGCCACAAGCAAGGTGAGTTCTGGCCGGGGTGTCCAGCAGAGGGCAGGCCAGGCGGGGATGGAACCAGCTTCCTCCGAGAAGGGCTGGCCACAGCCTTGGGAACTTCGTCTTTCAGGACTTCGGGATGTCTGGGCTCCGCTTCGGCACACTGTACACAGAAAACCGGGATGTGGCCACCGCTGTGGCTTCCCTCTGCCGCTATCATGGCCTCAGCGGCCTGCTGCAGTTCCAGATGGCCCAGCTGCTCCGTGACCGTGGTGACTGCCCTGGGGCTGGGCCCTGAAGAAGCTGGGGTGGGAGTGTCTGGGACCAGCCAGGGATGAGGGTGCTTCTCCATGAGGAAACTCTAGGGCACGTCTGGGACTGGTTCATATGCTACTTGGTCATTTGCTGGCTGTGTGGCACGTTACCTCACCTCACTGTGCCTCGGTTTCCTCATCTGTAAAACACATAATGGTGCCTATCTTGTAGGGTGAGCGGGATTTGTGATTCAGTTAGAACAACACCTGGTAGAGAATAGCACAAGCTCAGTGCCAGTAGTCCCAGCTACTTGGGAGGCTGAGCCAAGAGGATCACTTGAGCCCAGAGGTTCTGGGCCAGCCTGAGCAACATAGCGTGAGCCGGTTTAAAGGAAAAAAAATGTAAAATATGAATTTGTTATTAGGTGTATTTTTTTTTTTCATTTTTTCATTTTTATCGGTACTGGGGATCGAACTCAGGACCGCCTGCTTGCAAGGCAGGTACTTATGCCGCTGAGCTAAATCCCCAGCCCCATTTAGTTGTATTTTTAAAAAAGATGTTACTAAGAAAACATTCTTGTAAGGGACACCGGTCTCCCGCTGCAGGATCTGTTCTTCTCCCAGTTTCAGATATCAAGTTTCGGGGGGGGCAGAGCTCAGAGTCACTGCCCCTCTCATTGGGCCTTTGGGATGCTCTTGGTGAATTACCGCACTCAGACCTCCTCAGGATGCTAGGAAGCAAGATTTCCTGTATCCCCATTATTTTACAATGAGGAATATGACCAGCTGTGCACCCAGTATCATAGCTAAAATTTATTTTAAAAAAATAGATACATCAAGTATTGACAAGAAGGTGGAGCAGCCGGAACTCGCACATCGCTGGCGGGAATGGCAGATGGTTCAGCCACTTTGCAAAACAAGCCAAGTTCAACACACACTGACCAAGCAAGCCTCCGCCCCACCCCTACCTACTGAGCCTGATGGTCACATAAGAACTTCCCGTGGGCTGGGTGTGGCAGTACAAACCTGTCATGTCAGCACTTGGGAGACTGAGGCAGGAGGACTGAGTCTGAGGCCAACCTGGGCTAGTAGCGAGGCCCTATCTTCAAAGAATAAAAGGTGTTTTATACTGAACACTGAGTTCCCAGGCTATCCGGAGGGCCAGTCCCCAGCCCCACATTCGGGATGGGCTCCCGTGGTGTTTTCAGTGTGTGGATTAGCAGGAGGGCTTGGAGGGGGAGGGGAGTCTTATCTTTTGGTTTTTCTTTCTCCCAGACTGGATCAACCAAGTGTACCTGCCAGAAAACCACAGCCGGCTTAAGGCAGCGCACACGTATGTCTCGGGAGAGCTCCGGGCCCTGGGGGTCCCCTTCCTGAGTGGGGGCGCCGGCTTCTTTCTCTGGGTGGACCTAAGGAAGGTAACTCAGGCGGGCGGCAGGTGGGGCAGCGCTGCCCCGGGGCTCCCTCCCCTGGCGAGGGCGGCGGGGCCCAGCTGTGTTAAGCCTCCCGCCTGCCGCCCCCCAGTACCTTCGCCAGGGCACCTGGGAGGAGGAGATGGTGCTTTGGCGCCGCTTCTTGGACAGCAAGGTGCTGCTTTCCTTCGGCAAGGCCTTCGAGTGCAAGGAGCCCGGCTGGTTCCGGGTGATCTTTGCAGACAAGGCCCACCGGCTCCGCCTGGGTGAGCTGCCACCTCACTGTCCCCTCCTGGCTGCGTCCTGCGACCCTGGACAGCCACCAGGCTGACAGTGGCACTCACTCCCCCTCCTAGGGATGCAGAGGCTCCGCAGGGTGCTGGAAGGCAAATCCCAGGAGGCTGAAGATATCCCTCCCCATCAGGATCCCGGGGAGCAGCACTGATGAGGGGTAAGCAGCCACTGTCCCCAAGCCACAGAAGACAGAGGACAGCCTACTGGCCAGCAGGGTCCCTGATGTGGCTTTGCCAACCTGGAACTGCTGCTCTTCTAGGTGACAGCGGGAGACACCTTCTGCTGCTGAGGTCCAGCCTGGGACCAGCTAGGGGGCCCTGCCTTGGTGTGCAGAACTGGGGTCTCCCGATGGCCCCTAAGAGCCTTCAGCCCCCCTGGGGATGCAACCGACAGCAAACTGTCCCTCTTCTTGGGGGCCATTTCTTGCCTCCTGAGTTGGTTGCCAGGACAACAAGCCAGAGGAGCAGCACACAAAGTGATGGAGATTTAAATATCCTAGGATTCCCAAGGGACCAGAATCCACAGCCCACTGGGAACCGGGACCCCCTGATGGGACGGGACAGGGCAGGGAGGGGCAACTCCCTGGGAATTTCCTCTCTGTCCCAAGCTGCTCCTGTCTCTCTGGGACTCTGCTCCTCCCACCTGGGAAGAAGCTACCAACACTGTGTCCCCAGAGCACCAGGGGCTGTCGGGGAATTTTGGGGCTGGAACTCTGAAATGAACCGGGTGGAGCTGAGCAGGGCTGCGCTTTCCCCCCACGCGGAGGCAGATGAAGGGCGCCATGTCTTCAGGAGGGTGATTTGCTTCAGGGACAGCATGAGGTCTCTGAGCCCTCAAGCTGTGTGCGCTAAGGACCTTCTCAGGTGCCGCTGCTTCCGCCTCAGAAAAGCTGCACTTAACTCCGGCATGGGGTGCCTGGTCCCTGAAGTCCCAGCTTCTCAGGAGGCCGAGGCAGGAGGATCACTTGAGCCTGGGAGTTGGGGCCAGCTTGGGCAGTATAACCAAAAGGCATTCTCAAAAGGATGAAAAGCTGATTCTTGCTTTCTTTTAGAAAATGTCAGTGACATCAGTGTTTCCATTCTGTGCTGTTTGGCTCAGGTGGGGTTTTTTGTTTTGTCTTGTTTTTCTCTTTTGATCTGCCCTTCATTCATTTATTCTTCCTCCCTATCTTTTACTGAAGGCCTTCTAGGAGATATGGTGAAAAATATGGAAAATGCTCAAATTTAAAAAAAATTATTACAATGAAAGCCACATTTATTACTGTTTTCTAGAACATTGGAGAGACAATTTTAGGTGTGAAACTCCTTCACCCTTTAATATCTCAGGGTATGAGATGTGAATGTTTAAATTTTAAAAATTTATAAAAGATACACTGTCATGAACCCTCCTCAGAATCCTCCCCCTCCTTTCTTCTTTTTTTTTTTTTATTATTTTGAAGGTAGTAAAATACAACAGAACAAGACGGAACAAAGCCAATTGAGACAGCGTAGACAGTTTAGAACTTCACAGCAGGTTACTGGGATAACAGTATTAGGTATCACAGTATTTCTCATTATCTTCACAATAGTTCTTCTTTCAATCACCTATAGCAAAATAAAATGAAGTACAGAACATTATAGAACTTATCAAAACTACTGAATAGAGTAATACTGTTAATCAGAACAAAGCAAGACAGTAGTAAAAATATTTCCCTTCAAAAAGATGGTAGAAGAAAATCCCCCTTATTTGTTATATTGTATATGGTCAACCTCCCAAGAGATGCTCAGACCTCTGGCTCCCATTTGCTAATGGTGGGGCAGGGGAAGTGGGATGTTTGACTCTCAGCCAGTGGACCGGCAGGCTTGCTATTGCTTAGCAGGGAGGCAGGCTGGTTGCTTGGTTTCCCAGGGTCCTAAGTTCCAACATGGTGCGGATCTCAGGAGACACTGGTGGTTCTCCCCCTGGCCTGCCACGCCACAGCTGCTTACCAGAGAGGCGAGCTGGTTGCTTGGTTTCCCAGGGTCCTAAGTGCCAACATGGCATCCCCCCTCCTTTCACACACACTTACCCCATCGTTCGTCCTACTTTCTGAAGCAGCTCTGGAAGTGCTCTCTTCTGAGTGTCGTTAGTGGTGCTGTCCTGGCTGCTTCAGTGTCCTGAATGCATTCAGAATGACCTTTCATGGTGGTTTTGACTTTGGAGAAGAGCCAAAGAATCATGGTGCCAGATCTCGTGAATAAGGTGCTTGAGGATGCAGTGTCCTTGCCTTTCTGTTGGATGCTACCTGGAAGCAGCATTCACTGTGTTTCTTAATTATACCTCATAAAGACACTCAGCTGGGGCAAGTTATGTTCATCTCTCTGAGCTTTACATTTTAGCAAATATGTGTTTTATTATTGAAAATTCTAAAAAAAATCCTTTATAGCTCAAGCTTGCTTTTCAATTTCTAATCATTTACTTATTTACATTTTTTTGAAGCATTGTCTTGCTAAGTAGTCCAGGCTGGCCCTTGAACAAGAAATCCTCCTGCTTCAGCCTGCCAAGGGCTGGGATTCCAGATGTGCAACACCATGCCTCGCTTTGTTTTACTTTTAAAATAAATAAGCACAACTTTTTTGTACTTCATATATGGCTATGTCTTGGTATCTGTCCAGGAGAGGCTCCAGGACCCCTGATGGGTACTAATATCTACCAATGGCTTTATAAAAATGGCAAGCCTGCATATAAACATAGGCAGTCCCCTGGATACTTTGTCATCTCTAGATTACTTATCTAATGCAACATAAAGCCATAGACCATTGTTCTACTGAGCACGTTCTCATTTACCGTCACTTGCATGGTTTCTATCCCTGGAAATGTAGCCACATCATTTTGCCTGGGCCAGATTGTAACGAGCTTGCGTCTTCTGCTTGTCTCCCTTCCTTTTTTATTTTTATTTTTACTTTTGAGACATGGTATTTCTGTATACTCCAAGAGAACCTTGAACTTACTATGTTGCAGGATGGCCTCACACTTGAGGTGACCCTGCTGCCACAGCCTCCCGGAGTGCTGGGATTACAGGCATGTGCCACCAAGCTTAACCACATCTCTGACGTATGCCCTTGGTTACATTTTTTCTCTGCCCGCAGTGCCCTTTCACCTCTCTACTTGTAAAGATCCTGAATATCCTTCAGGGTTGGCAAAGTTATCTCGGATCTTTCCAAGTAGATGCAGCTTCTGCTGCTGCTTTAAAAATCATCACACTGTATATTCTCTTATGCAGCTTTCACCCTCCACCTGAGTAACTTCATTTGTATATTTGTCTTGATTCTAGTTAGGTCCTCCCAGCGTCTGGCATCTTTATTCATCCTACAAGAGCGTGTCAAGCCATGAAAAGTGCCAAGCTTTATGTAAGCTTCCAGTTATAAACGGTGATCAAGACAGGGAGGGGTCCAGGAAGTCCCTGCCGAACACAGTTCTGTAACACAGCCAGCCCTCGTTCAATCAAAGAACAAATGATTAATTACAAACACACATGTGGCAGGCACACACCTGTAACCCCAGAATTTGAGAGGCTGAGCCAGGACAGTCCCTCCAAATTCAAGGTCAACCTGAGTTACCCAGTGAGTTCAAGGTCAGTTTGAATTACATACCTAGCGAGACTCTGCCTCAAGAAAACCAAAAAAGCAAAACCATACATGTTTTAAAATACCGATAAAGAGAAACAAGCCAGAGGCTCTCTCAGATTGAACTCCATTAACTAAGTTGTAGGCGACAACTTCCACCAGATGGCGCTACCGTCCAGCTGGGATGAACGTGGACTCGGTTCCCAAAGCCTGACCTAGTGAACTATACCAGCTGTGATCGAAGTCTAGCAGTGTCTTCATCAATTCTCATTTTCTCAGCCTCCACTCACTGCTTTATTTCGGAAGTTCTACTGTGCATGCATAAGTCTAAATCATGAATAAAGGGGACAGGCCTCAGTTTCTACCCCTTGAATTACTCCACCCAAAACAGTCATAATTGCTTCTTGGATTCCTTCCCCCAAAAAATCGTCATATGAGGGAAGGGATCTTTTGCAAATACGAAGAGATCAAGAGATGGAGGAAGGGAACAAGAAAGGGAAGGACGTGAAAGAAATAAGCCATGTTATGCACATGTGCCAGCTCCCCACAGTGAAGGGGATCTGTATATACTACAAACAGGGATTAATAAAAACTAAACAATTTAAAAATTCATGACGGCATCGATTTTTTTTTTTACACAGATGTATTTCACTTAAAAGCGATCGTGCTTGCCCACAGTTTTGGAACAAGTTTTTGGAATAGCAAACCTTGGAGCCGGTTCCTTACCGACTTATAGAGGACCCACTGGAGGACTGTGGGAAGGAAGGGTCCTACGCATTTTGACAGAGGGTGCCAGATTGCCCTGTGGGAATGTTACGCGCTCATTTGCACCTACTGCGCTAAACGTTTACATTTTTGGGCAGATTTGTAAGTGGAGCGAGATGTCCCCTGGTCTGGCTTTGCAGTTTCGTCCCTAGGAAAGATCTGAGAGGTCTAAAGTCTGGCCGTTAAGGTCTCCGCTTCCCCGCGGCGCTCTGACTCCTCCCGGCCAGCAGGGGGCGCAGGCCGGCCGCTCCCGCATGCGCAGTGCGCGCGGTGTCAGCGCCGCCCGCCGGGTCCCCGCGAGGCGCTCCCGGCTGGTGTGGACTCTGCCCCGGCGGCCGCCCCGCGACTCGGAGCGATCGGACCCTGGCGGCGGCGGCCCGCGCCCCGCGGCATGAGTCGGTGACCGAGAGGGAGGCAGCCGTGGCCGAGGTGAGCGCGGGGTGCGGTCGGGCCTGCGGGCGGCGACGCGGGCCGGGCCCCGGGTGGCGCGGAGCTGGGGACCCCAGGGCGCTGTCCGAGGCCCCCCGCACCCCGGCCGCCCCCGTGGTTCCCGCTGCCCACGGCCGCATCCCAGCTGGCGCCCGCCGCGGCAACCCCGGTGTTCCACCTGCCCCTGCTGTCCCCGCCGCGGTCCGCGTCTCCAGCATCCGGATCTGGTCGGTGACCCGGGCCGGGCGGGACGGACCCGGGGCGTCGCCAGGAGCTTCCTTGCTGACGGTGGGGACAGGTCGGGGTCCACAGTGTTGAGATTGCAATAACAGCGCAGTGTAACTCATTGGAAATGCTCATCCAGAAGGGCCCTTCAGACCTCTCTGAACATGTTTTTCTGGAATGGAAAACCCGGTTGGTTCCTCTTGTAAAGCTCAGTATGGTGGTGCACGCTTGTAGCTTGGGAGGCTGAAGCAGGAGGATTGCAGTGAGTTATGGGCTACCCTTGGCTACAGAGTGAAACTCCAGCTCCAAAATAAATAAATAAATAAATAAATAAAAATAAAAAAATAAACGAGTTCAGTGCCCCCAGTTTGCACATTTCAGAGCTTAAAGTCTCTTCACAGTAATAAAGTAGATGATTCTGTTTCTCAGCCTTTCTGAGATTTAAGCCTCCTGGTTGCATGTGCAGGTATGAATGGACTGACAGCTCTGAGGCTTTCCTGCTGGAAACCTTGCTTTGGCGTTTTCTATTTGTATATTATATGGGACCCGGTATTGCCTTTCTGTAGAACTTTCTTCATCTGTAAAATGAGGGCAACAATAGTTTATCACACATTACTATTAAGAAGGTTTAATACATGCAACATTGATAAAGTGCTCACAGCATGTTGGCATGTAGTAAATGCTCAATAAAGTTTAGATATTGAGTGATAATCATTGTATTAATTACAGTATAATTCCCACAATTAAAAGACTTAAAAAATTGGAAACCATTTTTAGAGAAAGCCACAAAATAACTTTAAGTACAAAGAATTGTATCAGGTAAGGTGATGAATAGTAGATTTTCCTACTTTTTCTCACATTTGGTTTCATAGTAAGGCAGAGTTGGGTTGGAGGCCAAGGTAGCAATGTCCCTAGGAGTTAGTTGAGCTGTGAAGGCTTCTTCTCTAAATAAGTTGACAAGATAAGAAAGGGACTTGGAGATAACCTGAAACACAGTAGAGATGTTATTCGGGCGGATTTTAGGAATACATTCCAGGAACAGAAAATGCATCTTATCTTGATGATAGATGGGTGTCAAAAGATTTTTTCCGATGACTCAGTTGACAGCGAGATGATTCTAGTTTTTAAAAAATATTATTCTGGCATTTTTCATGGCCAGGTTTGGTGTGTTTCAGAGAGCTAAGTTTGCAGAACTTTGTTTTGTAATTCTTGTTCTGATCCTGGTTTCCCGTGTAGCAGGAGTTTCCTTTCCGCTCTCCCCTTCCGGGGCTTCTGATTTCTGCCGGTAGGGGGCGTCCCCTCTGGATGGGGAAGTTTTGTCTGTAGTTTGGGAGATTGCAGTCTGTCTGCCGCAGCTCGTCAGCACTGCTCAGGGCTTGGTGTCTCCCCTTGGGATGCTCTTTCCATTTCCTGGAGGGCGACAGTCCCACGTCCTCTCCATGTAATAACTCAGAACTTATGGGTGCTAGACACTGCGTACACCAGTGGGACTGAGGAGAAAAGAGACATTGAACAAATATTTATTGACATTACATAGATTCTAGGCTTGGCAAGAGGGAATGCAAGAAAATCACAACCAGTAGGGAAGACAGATGTGCCATTTCTTAACTAATCCCCAGAACATGGCAAGTGGTGGAAGCCAGTGTGCTCACAGGGTGGGGTGGTGCGCGCTGAGGTCTGGAGCCCAGAAGCCTCTCAGAAGGGGCCTTGGATCCTTGTATTTCTCACCCATCATTCTGATTTGTGTCTGTGCTGGAGATTAAATGCCGAGCCTTGTCTCTAGGCAAGCTCTGTCCCACTGAGCTGCACGCCAGCCCTCTGCCCTGTTCCTTTTGTCATGGGGGTTTAGTCTTCCTCAAGTGCTTATCTGGAGAGTGGGGAGAGCGTCCCACATCCTGGCTGGGCTCCCTGCTCCCGAGGTGTGTCCCACATGGATGGCAGAGGGGGCATCACAGGGCTGAGCTTCGGCCAGCTTCCAGGGTGTGCAGCTCAGGGTCACACTCTGTGGACGGCTGTCTCCCTGGATCGCTCTCCTTCCTAGCTGCCTGCATCCCCTGCACTTGTTCTTGGTTGTCAGTGCATAAACTAAGATGGTTCTGGAAGGGGCTCCAAGAACAGTGCTGTGAATTGGAATTTGTGCCCCTCAGCTGGCAGCCAGAACCCCGTTGCCAGTGTTAAGTGAGGGGTTGGCAGCCCCCTGATCTCAGGCGGGGGTAAGGTCAGGGGGGAGGGGAAGTAGTGGCTGCCCAGTTGCTTCAGGTCCCCAGCCTGTGTGGACAGTGGTGACAGGAGGGCTGGTTGGTCATGTCCCTTAGAGAGCCGAGGTGACAGGAGTTGGCTCAGACCTCCTGACTGGTGAAGGCCAGGCCCGGACCGAGCCAGGCTAGTAGCTGAGCCTTGCAGGTCGCCTCTCCTGTCTCCTGCCTGTGGGGCCTGAGAGTGACAGAGGCCAGGGATGGAGAGGCTGGGTGAGGTCGCTAGGATGCCAAATGCCTTGGTTTTCTCAGCTGCTGGCGTGGCACCTTGCAGGGCTCTCTGGAGGTGACTGTTCTAGGAGATGAGGCTCCACTGCCCTCCTGTCTCTGCGTCACCTAAGTGGGGAGGCCTGCAGTTCCTAAAGGGCCTCAGGCTCAGCCAGTGTGGGTCAGCAGGGACGGAGACCCCTGCGGAGTGACTCCAGCATGGGGCCTTAGTGAAGTGGAGGCTGGGGAGGAGAGGGGCTGACAGGGGAGCATTCGCTCTTCATCCAAGGAGGGAAGCCACCTGCACCCTTCCACCAGCTTTCCTCTAGTGTGTTTTATTTATTAAGTGATCGGTGTATTGATTATGGTACTGAGGATTGAGCCCAAGGCCTCATGTCCCCATCCTTAATTTCCCCCGGTTGGGTTCGAACCTGCAAGGATTGTACCCAGAGTCTTTGGACTGAACTGTGTCCTCGGCCCTTCAAATGTTTTTGTAAACTTTGGGATAAGTTTTTGCGAAGTTGTCCAAATATAAATATGGCATCCTCCTGCCTCAGCTTCCCAAGCACTGGGATTGCAGTGTGGATTACCACACCTGACTTTGTATTCTCTTACTGCTTTGTAGAGTTCTTCACCCTGGGTGTCTGTACTTCCTAGTTGGTGTGCTGCCAGCATCTTCTTCAGGCTCTTTGACTTCCGCCCTATGGTTTTGATCAAACAAGCTTTTAATGATAACACCAAATCATCATTTTATCTTTCTTGGCTTTTTTAAAATTCCATGTTGGAAATAATTCTACCAGAAATAATACATGTTCTCTATTGTGTTCTGAATGTTTTGTAATTTTGCCATTTACATTTAGTGTAAAATCCATCCCAGATAGATGTTCTGTCTGGCTGAAGCCTTCTTTTCAGAGTTTCCTTTCATACACCTTGGTGTGGTCTCCTTTATAGATGTTCTGCTTTGAAGTGAGCATCTTGAATCTTTGAATTAATATTATTTTTTATGCTGTCATATGTCACATAGCTTCTGGAGAAAAATGAAAAAGCAAATAGCATCTGCGTTATTATAGAAATAGTTCAGACCCTTTGACAGCATCTTGGGTACCTGCAGGGTACCTCAATCATACTTTGAGAATCACCATCATAAAGTTTTGGTGTTGAGGCTACACCAAGCTTCTAAAGCAGGCAGCTACAAAAAGAAAGAGTACTCGCTCTTTCTTCTGAATACTAGAGCATTTTGTGTAAAGTTGGAATTTCTGTTTCCTGAATATTTCATAAAGCTCAAAAAATATTTCAGACTTAGGAGGTGTTTTTTTTTTCCTTCTTCTCCTTGAAATAAAATGGGTTTTGAAAGTGGACTTAGAAGTTTTTTATAGGGAGATTTCTAAACTTTTGATTTAGTTAAAGAGCTCTCCAGGTAGCCATTTCTGCTTGAGACTCTTGATACGTTTATTTAAAATTTTCTTTCTGCGCGTCCAAGTTTTCAAATGTATTGACACAGTTTCATTGATAGCATTTTCTCTTTTTAGTATTTTGAGTTATTTTGCTCTTTTTATTTCAATCATTGTTCAATTTTTCCTTCTATCTTGAGTAGTCTTATCAGAATTATATCACATCAATTTTTGGTGATCTTTTTTAAAAAAAATAACTTTTGGCTTTGTTTCTCATTTCCATTTTTATTTATAATGAACATATATGTGCTTTAAAAACTGTATCCTATTATCTTTGGGTTTATTTGTGGTGCTCTATCTTTTTATAGTTAATCAGCAACTCATGAAGGCCAGCAGAGCTCATATGTAGATACCGTCTTTGTTCCTGTAACGCCAGTAATAGGCCTGTTACTCCATGAGACTCCTGACTTAATAGGTTATGGCTAGAATTCTTTAAAAACACTAGTAGAGCAGAAAGAGGAGACATTTACATGTTCTGTAGCTAATACCATGTTTTATGTTATAAGGTGAAGCATCTTTTTGTGAAACTTTCCTATTTCCGTCTATAAATGGGTCATAGCATAAAATATTGTTTCATGCTGTGGGTTTTAGGTTAAGACAAAACCCTGAAACAACTGTGTTAAAAGGTACAGTAGCTGATCAGCAAAGCTTTTGAGCCTGATTGCACAGAATAAACACGCGAGGAACTTGCTGAACGAGATTCTGTGACCCTACTTTGATGAAAAGCCAAGCTTCAGGCCAATGCCTGCGTTGAGGTGTCCAGAGTCAGGGAGCTGACCTGGGGCACTTGCTGGCAAGCTCTGCACGGGAACTGGTAGAGTGCAGCCTCTTGTGTGCACTTGTCCCCATCCCTTCCTCCATGGACTCGGGAGGGACACTGGGTGGCGTGGGGGTGGCAGGTCGGGGAGGGCTGGGGGCATCTGCAATTGGTAACAGCTCTCCCACTCACGGCTCTGTTATAGACTCCGTCAGCATGTGTTGAGTGGCTGATGTGTGTCCCTCAAAGGCGACAGCCTTTAAGCTTGAGATGTCATCAGATCCATACACTGGTCTGTGACAGGCTGATTCCTTTGTGTGCTCCAGTTCATGGTCTCAGAGAATTGCAGGCTGAAACTGTTCCGACCATCTAGCGCATTTTAACCAAACTCTTACAAAGCTTTAAATAACCATACCCAGCTAGCTGGCTGGAAGAGTTCTCCCAAGTGGCAGGGATGGAGGACACTGTGTTTCCCCGAGGGCAAGGCGATTTCAGGAAGCCTCTAAGCTTATCAGCTACTTCCCTTGATAGCGCTTACCAGTGAGTAGAGGAGCCTGGTTTATAGATTGGGACTTGGCCATGTGGTTGCCAAAGTAGTTTACTGCCGTCACATGGCAAGTGCATGACAGCAGAGTCACACTCCAGGCTGTGCCCTCCCTGGGAGGCAGACAGGCACGAAGCAGGGAGGTTGGTTGGTAAGGATATTAAATTGTGGCGCCTGGGGAGCTCTGGCTTTTCAGCTGAGGACAGGATATTTTCCTTTATTTCCTCTCGGTCCATGATGCTTGGTGGCTGTTTCATTTAGCCATTGCTTTGTGACAAACCACTGCAAAACTTAGTGACTTAAAACAGCAGCAGTGATCACAACCATCCATTCTCTGCTCATGAGCCAGCAGTCTTTGCAGGCCAGGTGGTGGTGGCTCTCCTTGGCTCCAGGCTCCAGGTGTTTTCCGGAGGGAGCTCTGCTTCTCACCATGTCACAGCTGAAAGGGCCCCACAAGGACACACGGGAGCTTTGGCTCTCGGAGGCTTGCGGAGTCCCTGGACCATTACTTCTGCACATTGTCTCAGGCAAATCACATCACACACATAAAAGAATGAATCTGGATTTGGGGGAAGCAATACGGGTTCTGCCTCTTGCTAAAGAATGTCCTGTGCATTCGCAGAGTGGGAGCATCCTTGGCCTCTGCCTTTGGAACAGGATCCCCCCAGCTTCCCTTCTGTCTTCTGTTTCTCCTCTCTCCTGCCCCATCAGCTTCCCTATTCCTTCCTTCCTTCCAAGTAGGCCAGCTGTCACTTTCACCGTAACATGTGTTTTATTTAGAGACGTAAGGCTGGTCATTTCTTCTCTGACTGCCGTTTGCACTTGATCAGCGCTTTTCGATCTGCATTTTGGTGCACTGTGGTCCCTGTGGCTCCCCATCCCGATCCAAGTTCCCAGCGAAGGAGCTTCTCTTTCATCTTTGCCCCACAGCTGTGCCTGGCGTGAGTGAGCAATGAGAGCGGACTGTAGGACAGCTGACACCAGCGGTGCAGGCAGATCGTCCTTGCAGGTCAGGCGGGACTTCAGAGAGAAGTAACAGTCTTCAGCTGTCCCACTTTTCATGTTTCTTCTTGGGTCTGCGTACCCTTCCCAGCTTATGCCGGGGTATCCTGAAGCTGCGTATCCCGGGTGACTGATGTGTAAGGTGCATATGTACTTACAGCTGTCTTGTAATTTTATGTCATGTATTGACGCTTATATTAGGAGTTTGAATATAGTACTGAGTATTCAGTTATGTCATAGGCCATGCGGCCATACATACAAGTGTGTATTTATTGGTAAGCAGTGTGAAAAATCCTTTTATCTTATCTCACCCAGAGGCTTGAGGGAAAGAAGTAGGAGTAACGAAGTCCAAGGGCCTCTTCAGTGGGGGTGCCCCCCACCCCTGACCCCAGCTCTCTCCGCCCTCCCTGCAGGCGCGGAGGACAGGCGGGGCGTCAGCATGTGCGCCTCGGTCAAGCACAGCAGCCGGGGTCCCGCCCTCATCCCGAGGATGAAGACCAAGCACCGCATCTACTACGTGGCGCTCTTCTCCGTGGTGCTGCTGGGGCTGCTGGCCACGGGCGTCTTCCAGTTCTGGCCACACTCCATCGAGGCCTCCGGCGACTGGGCGGTGGAGAAGCGCAGCGCGGCAGTGCCCGTGGTCAGACTGCCCAGAGACAGCCCGGTGCCCGAGCGCGGCGACCTCAGCTGCAGGATGCACACCTGCTTCGACGTCTACCGCTGCGGCTTCAACCCCAAGAACAAGATCAAGGTGTACATCTACTCGCTGAAGAAGTATGTGGACGAGCTCGGTGCGCCGGTCAGCAGCACCATCTCTCGGGAGTATAATGAGCTGCTTGCGGCCATCGCGGACAGCGACTACTACACCGATGACATCAGCCGTGCCTGCCTGTTTGTACCGTCCATCGACCTGCTGAGCCAGCATGCGCTGCGCATCCGGGAGACTGCACAGGCCCTGGCACAGCTCTCCAGGTACGGGAGCTGCTTCCTGCAGCGTGGGCTGTGAGCAGCTATGGCAGCAGGTGTGCTTCGCCCTGCGCTCCTAGCTCCTTGAAGTTTACAACCTAAGGGTGGCTGTCGCTCCCATACTCATCCTTTTATAAATACACGGCCCCGCCCCATCACACAGTACACAGTTAGCTGGGTGAGGTGGGACTCACCTCTAATCTCAGCACGCTGGGAGGCGGAGACAGGAGGCTGGCAAATTCAAGCCGAGCCTGGGTTAATTTAGCAGTTTAGCAAGAACCTGTTTCAAACCTGAAAAATAATAAAAAGAGCTGGGGACACATCATGAGTACCATCTGCAAATTTTTACATTACTATATAATTTAAAGGCTGTACAATATTCCATTTCATGGGCTTTCAGTAATGTATCCTGTCAACTCTGTGTTTGATTTACTTTTTTGTTTCTTCTTCTTTTTTTTTTTTTTTTTTGGTATCAGAGATTGAACTCATGACCTCAAGCATGCCAGGCGGGTGCTTGTGCCACTGAACTAAACTCTTGGCTCTACTTTTTGTTTTCTTTAGCCAAACACTGAACATCATAAGTGTCTTAATTTTTATTCATCGCTGAGACAAAATACTTGATGCCCAAAATTGGGAAAGGAAGGTTTATTTTTTTATAGTTTTTGGAAGTTTAAGTCTATATTTAGTTGGCTCTAAGGCAGGGTGGCATGGCAGGGCTGCAGTTTATGGCAGCTGCAAACGGCAATGTGGAAACCGCAAGAGAGAGAGACACCTTCTTCCTGCCATTACATTGTATGCTGGCTCCACCCCTATGTGGGTGTAGCACTGATACCATCAATCCAAGCGCTAGATAATGAGCCAATCACAAATGCACAATGCAAATTCATGAGGCCTAGGGGTCACTGACATAAACCATGACATTCCGCCCCTGGCCCCCAGGACTCTTGTACATCTTTTATACAAAAGACATTTAGTCCAAGAGTTGCCAAAGTCCTAACAGTTTCAGCATTGCTGAAAAGTCTGTCTTAAGTCTCCTTTAGGATCTATGGCAAACTCTTAACTGTAACCCCCTGTATAAATGAAACAAGGTTAAACAGTTTTGAAATATAAAGGCACAAGATAAACATTACCATTTTAAGGGTTACAGTCAGGGGAATATAAAGCATTGGAAACAAAGCAAGTGTAGCATCCAGCAGGGCAAACATTAAGTCTTAGAGTTTTATGCTCAGCATTTGAGGAAATCTGTTTGTAAGCCTCAAAAGGCTTGGGTGATTTTACCCTGATGGCATTTTTAGGGATTTTAGCCCTTGCATTTTTTTTAAAAAATCCTTTTTGTTTATTTTTGTAGCTTTTCTTAGATGATTTACATTTTTGGCTTTTTTAAACTTTTGGGGTCTCCATTGCACCTTTGGCTTCACCTTTACATCTTTACAAACTACCCTCTCAGGGGCACACTGCTTGGCCTCCCAGGCCCTTTGCAATCAAGGTGGAAGCTGTTTTACCCTCAGAATTTGTGCATTTGTCTTGCACCTAAAATTAGCGCCATGTGGATGCCACCAGGGTTTACTGCCAGCTGGAGCAGTAGCCAGGCTTTTTATTTGGCTGTAGGGGTCTAGTGCCTGGATTGCTGGGCTGTGTTTACCTGATTATTGCTGCCATTCTGGAACCTCTTTTTGGAGCATGGTGCTCTGAATTTTTTTCTTCTGAGCAAATTTTTTCACTTTTGCAGTTTTGAGGCTGCAAAGGGTGGAGACCCGCTGCTTTTTGGGATGCCCGTGGCCATCTTTTTCTATCTTTCTGTTTTTTTCAGCAATCAAAGTCTCAACCTTGTCTTTAAAATTTACAGCTTTATTGGAGGGTTTTTTTTTGTTGTTGTTTGTTTGTTTGTTTTGTTTTTGTGGCCAAACTCACAGCATTGTAAATTATCCTGCTGGGCTCTTTGCTCTTGATTTGCAACATAAAGCTGGCTAAAAGCCCCAATAATAGTGTGCCACAGCCTCGACATTCAACTGCCTTGAAATTTTTTTTGCCAGATTAATCAGTCTATTGCCCTTAGTCTCAGTCTCAGACAAAGCCCTTGGGCATGAGCAAAATGTAGACAAGCTTTTTGCCATGCCATAACACACATCATTGCGAGTCCAACAACCGACGCAGTCCTTCTTTTCAGCAGAAACCTCCCAAGCCTTATCTTTACCATCAGGCTTTATATCAGCCTTCTGGTCTCCTGAGCTCTGACCAGCTTTATATCAGCCTTCTGGTCTCCTGATCTGCTCTACAGAACAGCCTAAGCTGCTCCAGCTCTATGCATCCAGGCAACATATCCGAACCTTTTTGAACTCTGCCCACAAGCCATTTCCAAAGCTTCTCGAAAAACATGGTCAGGTACAGTCACAGCAATGACCCTACTCCTGGTACCAAATTTTGTCTTAGTTATTTTTTATTTGTTGCTGAGACAAAATACCTGATGCCCAAAGTTGGGCAGGAAAGGAAAAGTTTATTTTTTATAGTTTTTGGAGATTTTAGTTTATATTTAGTTGGCTCTAAGGCACGGTGGCCTGGCAAGCCATGGCTTATGGCAGCTGCAAACAGCAAAGTGAAAACCAGCCAGATACACACACACACACACACACACACACACACACACACACGCCTTTTTCCTGCCATTACATTGTATAATGGCTCCACCCCTAGGCAGGTATAGCACTGACACGATCAATCCAAGCTCTAGACAATAAACCAGTCACAAATACACAATGCAAAGGCATGAGGTCTGGGGGCCACTGACATAACTATGACAATAGGCTTCAGGTCTTTTTGTTTGTTTGTTTGTTTTGGTACTAGGGATTGAATTCATGATCTCATACTTGCCAGGTTTATGCCACTGAGTAAATCCCCAGTCTCTAGGCTTCATTTTTTCATTATTTGAAATTGTTCTGTAGTGGACAAGCCCTATGTTCACATTCATCTGTGTGTTTTTTTTTTTTTTTTTCCACAAGGAGCCAGCCCTGTGCCTGGTGTACTGTTAGGATCTGTAGGAATTTACCCAGCATTGCTGGAAAGTGACCCTGTTTATTTGGGATTGGGAACTTTTATACTTATTATCTGATCTCCCCATGGTCAACATGTGAATTCTCCGTGCTTCATTTCTCATAGGTGGGATCGAGGTACAAATCATCTGTTATTCAACATGCTGCCCGGAGGTCCCCCAGATTACAACACTGCCCTGGATGTCCCCCGAGATAGGTAGGCATATTTGGGGTAGTCTCTGGGATGGGTTTCTGAGGATTAAAGAAACCAAGATCCTTTTGAAACTATGTTCCTGTTAACACTGGGAAGTCCTTTATTGTGGAGGACCACCTGGACGACTCTCCTGAACAAAGAGCAGCCTCCACTTGACTAAACCTGGCCGTCTCCGTGTCCTGATATTTACAGTGCTGGCTCAGCCACTTCCTTTTCCCTTCTGTTAGCTCTACGCAAGGTAAATAGGGCTGAGGTGCCCATGCATAATCTTTGAAGCTAGGTGACAATCCTGTTTCCCTGCCCTGTGACTCCCAAAAATGTGGTTGAACTGGGGTGGCATGAAAAGCCACAGCCCCAGGGCTGTCAACTGGGGTCAGCCTTGGGAAAAGAGGTGATAACTTTCTAGGACAGAAAAGTTTACATATCAGAACCGAACGTTAGATGCATCCTCAGCTGTGTTATGCAGACTGACCCTTCCATACCCTTCTCTCTGTATACTGCAGAGGTGCTTCCAGGCCTCCTCCCCAGCCCAGCTCACGGTACTCCATTCTCACAGTCACTCATCCTGAAACCACTCCCTTCTTCATGGATTAATAAAGTCTGGGCTGGGTCCTGGGTCGAGGTCTTTGTTCCAATGAACCTTCATCCTGGCTGGACTTAGGACCCCTTGGCTCCCCATAATAATAAATACAATAAAACTTTTCCATGGGATTATAAATATAAACTTCCTGGACCGAGATGAGGTCTGGGAAGGTCTCTCTATGCTTTGTAATATGAACTGTTCATTGTAGAAAGCTGTCCTCTGAGTTTCCCTGCCTAAGACATAGCAGTTGAGGCTTGCTTGGATCTGTCATGTTGGAAGCTGGTCAGAGGGTTTCCTAGAGCAGCCTGTACCAGTTGGGGGGTTGCACCCCAGTTCCAAGAGGTGCAACCTCTATCAGCCGGTATTAGCGTCTTCTGGGCCTGGGAGCTGACATTTGCTAAGAGGAGACCTCCAGCTCCAAGGGTAGAGACACAGACCTGTGAGGGTGACATGTGACACCTATGACACCAGGCCAGAGCTTTGGGAAAGCTGGGCAAAGAGATACTGCAGTATCACCCCTCGAGGGACGCAACCTGAGGCTTTGAGCACCCCAGGTAAGGGTGCTGGGCGTAGGATTGTTCCAACTGTGGTCTTGTTATAGCCAACGTGGAAGTCTTGAAATCACAAACACTGACAAAAGTGACGGCCTGAACCTGGCTGTGTTCTTGGCATTGGCACTTCTGGAAATCTACACTGAGTACTGCTCTCTCCCAGAAGATTAAACCTGTGCCTTCCTTGGTGTGAATGATTATTTCGAGTCTGTCTTGAGTCTCTAACTGAAAAAACATCAATAGGAGAGACCAGCACCCCAAAACCTTCATGGACGCTGGTGTAGCAACATTTTTTGAACGGCAGAGGGCAGTGTGGCCCTACAAATGTTTAGAAACCTGGTCCCTGGGTGGAGACACCTGCAGGGGAAGGCAAGTCCTTTCAGGAAGGAGTTTCACTGGGCCTCCCCATGAATGAGATTGCTCCTAAGAACAGCGAAGGGGAGGAAAGGAGCTGTTTGGTACGCAGCATCTTTACCTCCTGACTTGGATTTCATTGCAGAAGGGCTTCATGCTGCTTGGGATCCTTCACCCTAGGCATTTTGGTGAACGCACCTGTACAGGAGAAGGAAGGACCGTATTATCAAATGCACACGTTCAGTGGGTTTTTCTGTTTTGCAGTAGGGTGTTAAAGAGACAGGAGGAAGTTGCAGTTCTTGCTCGTGCTAAGACGTTATGGCTCAGCAGGTCAGGCCATTTCTCTCATCTCTGTGTTTGTTGAGTGACCTGAGGCTGCCCTGTTGCAGATAACGAGTGGGCACAACGTCCCCTTGAAACCCAGGTGGGCTTTGGTGGGGTAACGCGTAATAGATGGTTCACTAAGTTTTCTGATCCTTTGTGTTTGCTCCTGGATTCAGCGTAGGATTCAGTGTGGAAGGCTTTTAGTAGGGGCTGCAAGTCACAGTGTTCAGAAACTGGGGGGCGTGGCTGGGTGAGACTGACGTCTCCTAAAGTCTAAGGTCACGGCGTGATGAGGTGGAAGTTATTATTTAGGGAATGTGAGCGCCTGGACTGGAGGGAATACTGGTCTTCTTTTTCTTGATTTAGACACAAACGCAGTACACACCCCCACTTTATTTTAACCTCAATGGGAGAATATCATAGCTGCTGTTTGTGTTCTCAGGTGTGTTCTATAATATCATTGCTACCTTCTTTTCTTTGCACAAGTATCTTACAAACGTACACTTTTATTGGGATAAATATTTACTTATGGAACTTGTTATGGAAAAGTTCAGACCTATGTAAGAGAAGAGAACAGTACAGCGAGCCACATCTCCCCGCTAGATTGTTTAGAAATCCCAGATGCTGTATCATCATATCTGTACATGTTTTCCTGTGAATGTCTATATGATGGGAGCTTTAAAAAGAGCCATAATTATACACTAGGTGTGCATGACCATAATCCCAGCACTTTGGGCAGCTGAGGCAGAGAGTTGGCAAGTGTAAGCCCACCCTGGGCAACTGATTTAGTGAGGCCCCCTGTCTCAAAATAAAAAGAATAAAAAGAGCTAGAATGTAGCTCAGCGCCAAACCCCTGGAGTCACTTCCGGTACCACAAATAACAGCACGAAAGCATAGCTACCATATCATCATACCTGAAAACATTAACCAGTAGTTCCTTTAAATGTCACCAAGCGTCCACTGACTCTCTAGCCATTGTCAGGCTTAGCCATCTGGTACTCAGCTCCCCTCCCCCAAGTTTGTTTGACTCAGAAAGCAAGAATGACTTTTAGGATTGGTCAGCTTTTGTTTTGCTGGGTGCGGAACCTGACTTTATATTTGAGGAGTTGTGCTTCCAGTTACATGCATAGCTTAAAGGAAGACAAACAGTAAACTCGCAGGCTCGCCATGCTCAGGCACAGGAGCACACAGGTAGCTGGAGACCTGAGGACTCTGTGGGAGTCTGGCAGGGACGTGGGGACAGAGGCTGTGGGAGGAAGCTCAGGTCCCAAAGCAGGACTATCCGGAAAGTGCTGCAGGTGCTGGAGCCACCTCTGCAGACACAGCGCTCCACCCCACTGAGTCTGGTGCTATGGACACTTTTTCCACTACGAGTTCTCCTTCTGGGCTCTCGTATCGTTGGAACAGATCTCTCATTTTGGGATCCATCATGGGAAAACAGCATGGGCTGCTTAGAAATTAACAGTCAAAGTGAAACATGTGTTCTGTGAGGTGAGAGGTGCTTAGCACCCCTCCACGCTGAAGCCCAGGGAACCTTGCCCAAGGGGCCGCAGCTCGAAGGTGGAGACTGACTGCAGTTGAGTGCTTTCTGAGGTCGGGCAGATGCCATGTGTCCCCACGGGGCAGAACAAGAGAGGAGCGGTGAAGCCAGCTGGTGTGAAGTGCACCACTTCCTTCCTTCCACGTGCTTTCCCCGCCCCATCACCCAAAGTGCGGGCGATTCCTGCCTGCCTGGGGCCTGCCGAAAGCAGCTCTGCCTGCTGTCAGTACCTGGAAGCCGCCCAACTTCTGCTAATCAGGAGAAGTCAGCCCACAGGCTGGTGCCAAGGGCAGGCTGGCAGCGGGGGAGCTTGTCGCGTGCACATTGCCTTACCCACCCATTCTGGGTTTGATGAAGCTTAAAACAGAGTGGGTTTCCCAGGGGTGGTTTGGACACCTTTGAACTGAAACCCGTCCTGTTAGAAGGGAGCATAGTTTGTCGTCAGGGCCGGGAGAGGATTGATAGTGATCAGTATTGCAGAGAGCGTGGTCTCTCCATGGAGACATTGTGGCTTAGAGTACGGGACGTGTGACTGGTAAATCTCCACCCCAGAAAGTGATTTTGATGGGTCTCGAGCCTCTGGGACAAGATGACAGCGAAAGCTGGTGTGACGTACACCTGCTCCTTCCCCTGATGAAGTGTCTCCGTACTGCTTGCCGGATCCAATTAGAAGAGTGCGGTCGCTGGTTTCTAATGAAGGAGAATAGAAACGGGTGCAGCGCACTGCAGGAGAAGCAGGAAAGGGCCAGGTGTGGATTCCGCTTCCCGAACGGGGAATTGGGTGGATGGGGTGAGTAGCCCTGGGACCACCAACCGGAAGAACAGCTTGGGGCAGGGGCTGGAGCAAGGCCAGGCGAATGCGATGCAAGGTGTGCTACTTTCTGGCCGCCTCTGCTTCCCATGCCTGTCGTCACCAGCAGGTCCAGGCAGAGAGCTGGGAGATGTCAGTCTTCCCGCGTAGACCTGTGGGTATTTCCGATACTGCTAACATGGTTTAGAATAAAGTACAACTTTTTGGAGAATGAAATGGGGTAGCAGAGGGCCCATGCCTAGTGTCCGCTAGGCTGTAATGTGTTTGAAGAAATGGAAAGTACCCTGGGAGAGAGCTGGGGATTCTGGGGTCTGGTGGCACCGATGTCTGAGAGATGCTTTGTGAGTGTCAGGCACCCAGCCCGGTACTGCTATAAAACAGTGACTCGGTAATGTTGATGTCACTACTAAGCCTCCGTCATTCTGAAGGTCACTTTTTCTTTTGTCTCTGTCACTGTTTGATGAAATCCTTTGCTTCCAGGGCGCTCTTGGCTGGTGGTGGCTTCTCTACGTGGACTTACCGGCAAGGTTACGACGTCAGCATTCCCGTCTACAGCCCGCTGTCTGCGGAGGTGGCTCTCCCGGAGAAAGGGCCAGGGTAAGGGACCTGCAGCGCTGCTGGGGCCTTCACAGTGTCTGTGGGATGCCGGGGAGGGGGATCTTACTGAGGTGAGCACCCCAGCTGCCAAGGCCTGGATTTCAGGCCAGCGTCCTGTCTGTCCCGTGCTAGACCTCTTCCCCTGTAGCTTTCTCTGGGAGCTAAATGCTCAGACTGGCCACCAAGTTTCCTGACCAGGAACCTGTGGCGCCCTTGACTCCATCCTCTTTTCCCTACATCAGAATCGGAAGTCCTGTTTACTCTGCCTCAGATTTGTCTGCATCCTCTCTCGGCCTCTGCTTTATGCCAGGCCGCTGTCATCATCTCCCTTTGGACTCCTGAACTGAGTCCTATTTGGTGTCATCGCCTCTAGTCTGGCCGCCACCAGCCTGGCCTGGCCTCCCACTGCCCGGTGGGTATAGTCCCGCCACCCTCAAATGCCAGTCGGCTTCTCTGCCATCTGGCCACCCCTTGGCTCTGTCCCCGGCCTTCCTCAGAACTCTTCCTTTCAGGTCACAGGAGGGGCTTCGCCCTTTCCAACTGTCTGGCCTGGAAGCACACTCCCCTTGCATGGGAGTCCTTTTCCTCCTCTTGGTCAGTCTAGCATCCTGCTTGTACTTCGGGTTTCAGCTGGACCTGCTGACCCGGGCAGTTGGGGTGTATCGTGTTTCCCCTGCACGGTCTGGCCTCGCTCCCGCAGGGCCTGCCCATCTCTCGGATGACACTCATCCTGCCCTGGCCGGCCGCCTTTGCAGTTTGACTTTTATCCGTGCAGTGAAGCAGAGACCAGCTCTGTGTTTTGTTTTACTTTATTTTTCAGGTCTGCTTTCTAACTGTTGTATTGTATCTGGCACATACTTGGCTCATGCTTTAATTGTGGAATAAGTGAAAAGGGCCTGGATATGGCGGGCCTTTTGTCTAGCTTTGTTTTCTTTCTTTCTTTATGTCTGTCTGTCTGTCTTTGTTTTTTTTTTTTGTTTTTTTTTTTTTTTGCTATAGTCTGTTTAAAAATCATGCTAAATCATGGTGAGAACTTAGCACTAAACAAGCCTACTGGTAATAAAGCCTCCTTTCCTTACACCTGATTCCGAGGGGACTGAAGTTGCAGCACTAAAAATGCCACATTGGGCGAGACTGAAACCTTCACTGTTTGTGGGGGAGAATTGGGTCTCAAGGAAACAGTTTGCTTAAAGCCATTAGCACCACACTTGCCCTCAGAAACTGTCATGGACTGAGACATACGGAGAAGATGTCCCTCTTTGACATTTGTGTTCCACCATGTGGCCTGGGCTGAAGCCTGAGGTTCCCAGCAGCCGTCAGTTATTTTAAATAAGGTGCTCAGTCCAGGTCAGCTGGAGACGGTTTTCCCTCTACTCTCGGCGAGTGCAGGGAAGCCTGCATGTTTGATGAACTGTGGCTTAGATCATCTTCCTGGATTCTTTTCCCTAAATAAGCTCCCAGAATCAATTGAATTTATTATCTTAAAATTGAAATTAATTCAAGTACCATAAATTCATCTTTTTAAAGCATACAACTCATAGCTTTTCATGTGCTCACAAAGTTGCACAACTATTGTCAATATTACAATTCTGGAGGATTGACATCACTCTAAAGAGTCAAATCAATACTCTCGTGATTCTTCTTCTTCTTGTGATTCTTCTCTGGCCCTAGCAGCAATCACTGATCTATTTTCTGTCCGTTTGGATCTGCCCATTCTGGACATTTCAGTGTAAATGTAGTCATGTAGTACATTTTCTACCTGTCTTGTTGCATTTAATGTTTTTCAGGTTTATCCATATTGTAGTATGGATACTACACTTACGTTTTGTTTGTCCATTCATCAGCTGGTTGGAATTGGGGTTACTTCCAATTTTGAGCTATTGTGAATAATGTTGCTATGAACATTTGTGTACAAGTTGCATAAACCTGTGTTTTTACTTTCCTTGAGTCTATCTAGGAGTGCTGTTGCTGGTGCTGCTATTAGTTCCATGTTTTAGTTTCTGAGGAGATGCCAGACCCTTTTCCAGTGTGGCTTCATCTTGTACCTTCCTATCAGCAGCACACATAAAGTTTCCAGTTTCTCCACATCTCCACCAGTGCTAGTCATCATCTGGGGTTTTAAGTCTCACAGCCTCATGGATGTGACAGAAAATCTCACTGTGGTTCCAATTTGCGTTTCCCTAGTAACTAATGATGTTGAGTGTCTTTGCCTGCTGATTGGTCATTTATGCAGCTGCTATGGAGAAATATCTACTTAGATTACTTGCCTGCCTATTTTCAAACTGAGTTGTCTTCTTTATTGTAGAACTATAGGATTTCTTAGGTATGCCAGATTCTGGACTGTTGGACTTGAAAATATTTCCTCCCACTCTGTAGGTTTTTTCTTACTTTCTCATTAGCATCTTTTGAGATGGAAAATTTCCTACTTTTGCTGAAACCTGACTTACCTACTTTTCCTTAGATTACTTATATTTTTGGTGTAATACTAATATTTAAGAAACTATTGTCTAAACCAAGATTAGAAAGATCTACAATTAAGTTTTCTTCTCAGAGTTTTATCATTTTAGCTCTTGGGTTTAGGTTCTGATTCATTCATTTTTAGTTCTTTTTTTCTTTCTTTATTTTGCCCAGGGTCTTGCCTGTGGTAGGCAAGTTCTGTATCACTGAGATACATCTCTAGCCCTTTGTTAATTTTTATGTATGTGGTGTGAGGTCCAACTTCATTCCTTTTCTGTGAATATCCAGTTTCTCAGCACCACTTGTTGGAAGGAGTATTCTTTAGTTATGGTATGCTTGTTGAAGATGAACTGGTCATAGCTATGTGGGTTTATTTCTAGGTTTTTAGTCCTACTCTTTGGCTGTCCTTCTGCCAGCACCCACACTGGCTTGATTACTGTAACTTTCTAGTAAGTTTTGAAATAGGTAAAAGTGAGTCCTCCAACTTTGTGACTTTTGCGAGGCTTTTGAGGGTACTCAAGGTTCCTTGCATTTTGATTATTTTTATAATATTATAACTGGCATAAATGACAATAAGCAATCTCCTTGTGCTTATTCATCTACAAAACCGAGACAAACTTACAAAGTAAATACCAGCACATCTACGAAACTAATGACATTGAGATTAACATAATTTAATGTGACAGATGGAGGTGCTTCTTTGAAATGGAATTGCATCTTGAAGGTGAATATGGAATCAGTGTATGGGTGCATTGGGGTTGGTGGGCCTGTATAGTTGCATGCTGAGTGATAGTATTCTTTTCTCCACCATGTTTTCTGTTTGAAGCCCTGGGAAATTTTTCTATACGTTGTATATTGTGGCATTGTTTATCTACCTCAAGTGCAGATGCATGACTCACATTTGCTCTGACATTTATTATGAAAATGTCCAAGCAGGCAGCAAAGTTTAAAAGAATGTCACGGTGAACACACTGTCTGCTTGTCAGCTCGTCCACTGTTTGTGTTTTGGTGCACTCCCTTTCTGTGATTCCCAGTTTTAAGTCTTCTCCTCCCTTATGAGCCACTAAATGCAATCTTGGTCATTGTTTGCCATTGATGTAACTGAGTGGTGTGGATTGAGGTACAGAGAGTAAGGGTTTGCTGGGCTTAGAGTACCAAATGCTGGGAAGCTGGAGACGGGGTGCTCACATCTGCCTGCTTAGGAGTCTGCAGTGCCCCAAGTGGTGAGGGTATCACATGGCCAGGCAGAATGACCTAGCTCGGGTCCTTCACTTCTCATAAAGCCACAGCTCTACCCATTTAGGACCCCACTCTTAGGGCTTCATTTCCCCATAATTAACTCCCAGATTTACATCTGCAAATACCACAGATGCGTTTTGGTGGACTCATTTAAACCATGGCAGTTGATGAATTTTTTTAAAACAGTATTCATCATTAAATATGAGCAAAACTGTACCTATATTAACCTTATGATTATTGTTGAAACAAGTCAAAAATAATCCTTTTTTCCCCTCAAAATAATTCTTCTGGAGAATCTATGGATGGATATAGTTCACTGCCAGATTCTGAGGCTAGGTTCCCACGAATTGAGAGAAGATGGTCTTTGTGCACTATCTGGAACCTCTGGGGCAGTACAAATTCCTGTCATGTGTTGAGATTTTAATTTGGCATATTTGTGAGCCTGAGTGAATAATTGTGATAAGCAGAAGAGCTTATTCCTTTTCTTGCCACTTCTGCAAGCATTTGCTTAAATCAGTTGTCAGATAAAAAACAAAACATTGTTTTACTTGTCTTTTTTTTTCTCCTTGAAGTGGTTCTGAGTGTTTGGCACTTTGGTTCTGTTCCGTTCCGCGGTGCTGGGGAAGGAGGTAAACCTTCATCCAAGGACTCTTGGACCAGGTGTTGGGCCAGGCTCATGATTCTCAACAAGAGATGGGGAGTGAGCTTGTCCCCCAGGGAAAAGTCTGTGGACATTTCTGACAGTCACAGTGAGAGACTGTGTATTGGGGTCCCCAGAATGTGCTCAGGCTTGGTGGCTGTGCACAGAGACAGGATACAGAGCATGGTCAGGACAGGGAATGGGGACAGGGCTATGACCAGGGAAGCCAGGTGCAAACTTTCAAGTGTCCACTCCCGATGCAGTGGCATGGGACATGCCTGATGCTCCTGGCAGCAAGTGGTGACAGCATGTATGGATGCCTGTGACCAGGAGACTGGACATGCTCAGCAGCAGGGCTTTTGTCGGAAGCTGATGTCCAGATTGCCTCTGCAGAGCTTGGACTCCAGGGTACATCACACGGTCGTGAGGGCTGCGTGTTTGCAGTTCAGGCTTAGAAAGCCTTTCTTACCAGTTTTCAGGTGGTGGGACTTTCCCCTCACCCAAGTGTCCCAGTGCCAGCCCAGGGGCCAGCCTGACACCCAAGCCTCTGAAATTCCACTGCCTGTCTCTCCCATCCTGGGAAGCACTGGCCACAGCGGGCACCTGGGTGGGAACCAGCAGTGCCACCACCGCGGAGCAGCCCCTGGACATGGCGTCCTTTGTAACCTTCTGTAGCACAATCTGGCTCCTTTTTATCAGTTTAGGGGTCTGAATTCCCTCCAGATTTCATTCCGGGGAAGAAAACACTGAAAATATTTAGCACAAATAAAGCCAGGAAGAACAAACCACTCCCAATAGTTAAAGATCACCTTCAAATAACGGGTTTGGGAAGATTTAAACTATTACGTGGGTGGTTTAGCTCTAGGAACTGGAGCTCTCTAATTTATGTGTAACTACACTGAAAAGAAGCCCTTCAGTCAGGTCACTCAAAGCTTCAGTTCATTTTTAAAGTTCCAGTAAGAGACCCCCCCAAACAACCACGGCAACAACTCCAGGAAGGTAGAGACAGCTCTCTTCTGGGACTCGGGAGAGAGCCAGGCTGGGTGACCTCCGGGCCTCAGGTTGGTCCATCGCTCTTTGTGAGAGTTACTTTTTAAGGGAATTCCCACATCTCTGAGGATCGCTCAGAGTAGTAAGAGCTCTGTTTTTATTTTTACTTTAAATCTTTCAGTACTTTTTCAACGGGAAGCTGAGGATTGTTGGTATTGATAGCTTCTCCTCACAGCAGTGTTGGCCCCATCTGGAATTCTTGTCGTTTTGCTTCTGAAAGGAACTAAATTGGGAGTTTACAGCGGTAACTGTTGAGGGAGACTCTTAGGTTCTCAGTGTGACCTGACTTTTGGATACCAGGCTGCTGGGAGGAAACATGAAAGTCGTAGCTAGTAATTTTAGTCTTCCAAAGAAAAACAAATCCACCTTAAAACTGAGTTTGCTCAGAGCTAAAATGTGAGCATATTCTGCCAGCTGTGGGTCAGGGCCGGAAGGGCTGGCACATGGGCAGGGGACGATGCTTCGGTTCCCATCTCCAGGTTCTGCTGGACGCGTAGCCCTGGCAGAGAGTCTAAAAGAACTTCACCTCTTCTCCATGAGATCGAACCTGGAGTCCTGCTTTGCTGAGGTTCCTTTGGGCATCACACCTGGACATCTGTATTTATTTCTCCACCTGTGTAGGAGTCTGCATATTGAAAACCACCCCTTCTTAGCATCTCCAGTTCCGGCCAGCACCGCACGGCATCCTGCTTTTCTGCCTCTCCGTGTTTGGAGCTCCGTTCTCTGTCTACCATCATCCCTGGCGACCCCGCCCTGTGCTGCCTGCTGTCTCCTTTTACCCCAGCTCAGTCATCCTCCCCACACGCCTGGGTTCCAGCCCTGGGGAGATGTGACTGTCACCCTCATCCTCCTCAACCTGGGCACCCTTGCGGCTGCCCGTGTGCGTGCCCCGCTACCCGTACCCGTCCTCCCATGTCACACCCTGTCCCCAGTGCAGGGCTTCTCACTGTGGCTCCTGGTAGAGTTTCCTGCTGGGTAGCAAAAATCCCACCACACATACCAGTATCATTCTCCAGTAACCCTCACTGTTAATTAAGGTGGTTTCCTGCTTGGTTGTGTAACTACATGCGTTTGGTGGCAGAGATGGCGTCTCCTGCGGGACCAGCCCAGAGCAGCACCCAGTGCGTTATCTTGCCATTGGTGTGACTCCTCCCTCAATGCAGAGTGACTCTGAAGGCTCGGGCTGGGAGGAGAAGCCGAGAATCTGGGTCGGTGCCCACAAGGAAGACTTGCGGCCATGAAGTCTCAGTGTAGTGTCCAGTGAGTGGTAACTTAGGAGGGGCTCAGCCAGCTGACCAAGCTCTCTCCTCGGTGGGCTGCTGTTCCGTGGCCTCCTAATCTCCTCCGCCCTCAACCTGGCCTCTAGGCTCAGCCCACTGCAGGCGGTGCTGTCCAGTAGGACTTGCCGCGAGGAGGAAGGAGAGGTGGCCTGTGTTTGCCACGTGGCCACTGAGCGCTGCATGGTGGCTTCATGCTTTGGGAGAGAGGATGACTTGCTGAGTTAGAGTGGCTGTCCTTAGGATGTATGAGGATGGTTCTTCCCAGCTAGATGCTGTGAAGAAGACTGAGGAGGTAAGGAAAAATAGCTGCTGGCTTTATTTTTCAAAGCCTGAATGACAGCAAAAATAAGAGAGAGAGAGAGAAAGAGAGAGAGAGAGAGAGAGAGAGAGATGCATTCACCAACAGCTAGAGGTTTTGGTCCTGTCTCGTTTAAGCCTCTTGGTTAGCCTTAGTATTTTTCTGGCCAGTACCAGTTTCCTGGATTTAGCGAGTACTGTTTAGCATGATGGATGTCTCCTTTGTTCCTGGAACATGCTTTATCTGAGTTGTGCCATTAGTGGTGACCCCTGAGGGTCCCTCAGCCTGCACCCCTTTGTGGCCGTACCCTCTCTCTGCCCTGTGGAAGCCTGCCCTTCCAGGAGGGAGTTACTTACTATCTGGTCTCTCCGAAATCATCCTCTTGTTCAGCCTTACTAATTTGGTGTCGACTTTCTTGTTTTGAGGGAGAGGGTCTCGTTATGTTTCCCAGGGTGGCCTCAAACTCCTGGGCTCCACTGATCCTACCATCCATCTCAGGGCTGTGAGTGGCTGGGACACATGTGACTGCTACGTTCAGAGGTGTCTTGTGTGGAGCTCCGCGTGGCAGCAGCCCTGTGGAAACCCTTCCTTCTCTCCATTTTGTCTTACGCATCCTCGCATAACACATACTGTGACCGATTCCATGCTTGGGTGAAGAGTTTCCCTCCTTCCGGCTTTCAGCTTCTCTGCTGTGCCTATGGCCTTGACCGCAGGCCTCTGCCCCACGCGACAGTACTGCATCTGCTGGATCTGCCCATCTCCAGGTGGAGGAGCGCAGCTGGCTCCTGCTCAGCTCCGAGATGCAGACCGAACTAAGGGTAACATTCTGAGGTCCTGTCCAGTACTCAGCCTACTGTCCGGGTTCTCTCTGAACCCTCACAGGGTGCTCTCTAAACTTGGTCCATCTTGAGCTTTACTTCACAACCTTAAGGACTTTTCCTAGTAAAATTTTAATAACATTTCAGCATGTAAATGAAGCATACGCCATTTTTTTAAATAGCAGCTAATATTTTAAATATTCAGCAATTCTCCACTGTGTAATTTCTAAACAAACAAACAAACAAATAAACAGAGAGAAGAAAATGAGGCAATGTTGAGAATAGTGAGCAAACACTTGTGGCCAGCCTTGCGGTGTCATCGTCTGTCTAACCCTGATAGCCGATGGGCTGTGGTTGCCAGTGAGCTTTTTTCCTCCTCTGCAGTCCCCGGCGATACTTCCTCCTGTCCTCGCAGATGGCCATCCATCCTGAGTACAGAGAGGAGATTGAAGCCCTGCAGGCCAAACATGGAGAGGCCGTGCTGGTCCTGGACAAGTGCACCAACCTCTCTGAGGGCGTCCTTTCCATCCGCAAGCGCTGCCACAAGCACCAGGTCTTCGATTACCCCCAGGTGCTGCAGGTGAGTGTCCCTCGTGAGCCCACTCAGGCTGCACAGGGGTTGCTGCCACTGGGTGAAATTGACCCGGACACTAGGAGTGGCTCTCCTGAAGTGTCCCCCCGGGGGGAAAGGAAATTTAGTAGTGCTCTGTGCTGGGTGCGCCCCTTCAGGTGCTGGGGTGCCTGGCGTACTGTGTTCCTGGGAAGCTGCTTGGCCCATGCAAGCTGATACACTTTTTCTCACACGCATTGCATTATACTTCAGCAATGCAAATCTGTTAGGTTTACAGCGAGCCATAGAGGCAGAGCACACAGCTGTTGTATTTTGCTTTGACCCTTGTGCTCATGGGCCAGTCCAGAGAAATGTCTTTCTCCAAGACGGCAGTTGCATCACTGGACCACGCTTCCCTGTGTTTTCTTGGGAGTGGGTGGACTTTGGGGTTGTTTTCATTTTGTTGGATTTTGGTGGTTTGCTACCCACGGTGTGCCCTACCTGTCAACGTCATTTCCTGACACCACCAGCATAGCAGTGCCTCCTTAACCAAAGGCAAAGCAGTTGCTTTGGGGATCTCCTATAGATGACTGTTGGACAGTCCAAGGGTGTCCAGGGCTAGGCAGGGAAGATTTGAGCTGTGTTCCCTGATATTTTTAAAATGAAGATCAGGTTAGCTCAAGGAGAAATATCAAGGACTCAGCCCATACTGAGATTATTAAAATACTTTCAAGAAGAGCTGCTTGCGTCTCCCTCTGGAATGTCTGGCTGATAACGGTGCTGATGTGAGCAGGTATTTGTAATAACCTGTGTCTAGACAGGAAGAATGGTTGTCAGCACATGTGTCCACAACTGGTTGCTACCTCTGTGGGCCAGGCTGCATTGCCACCTGCACCCCGGGTGCCCCGGGGGTGCTCTCCCTCCACGAGCTGCTTCTCCCCTGTTGCCCCAGAGGACAGCGTGATATTGATTTTCATTATAGTTCTTCTGAACTCTTCATTTTTCTAACTTTAAAAGTTGCACCGTTTTATTTCCTCCCTTCTAAAAGGCAGAAACTAGGGGAAACTGAGAGTTGGCGAGTCAGGGTCTTTCCTCACTATTTTTTCTGTACATCTCTTACCTTCCCATGCATCCCCACTGACAGGGTTTAGGGAGCGACTAGGGATCGTTTTTTGAGATTTTGCGTTCATTAGATTTATTGTTTTAGAGAGACCACATCTGTCTGAAGGTCTTCTCAAGGTGCTGCATTCTTTGAGCGGGCACCTTCTGTGGGCAGACACTGCTAGACACACTGTGGGAATAGAAGGGTGAACAGAGACTTGATGGGATCAGGGCTTCCTGCCTTCAGTGGGTCCTCTGGAGAGCCCTACAGTCCCCAGTCAATTGCCTTACGAGGGGCTGAGGTAAGCTGCACTCTATAGTGAGTTTCCCTGGCACCCCGCCGGTGCAGGAGCTCCTTATCTAGAGAAAGGCTGTCCCTGTGGGCATGCGCAGAGCAACAGCCCTGGAGGCCCTGAAGTTATCCCGAAGTATGGAGATGCAAAGCATCGTGACCAGCTACGCTCTTCATATCTTACAGGTGAGAGCCATTGCCTGTTGGCATTTTGGGATCAAGATGCCTCACAGTTGAAACCTTGGGAACTTCATGGCCTGCAAGGATGCCTGTGCGTGGGTTATAATCCTCAACCTCTGCTTGTGTTCCTGCAGGAGGCGACTTTCTGTGTGGTCCTGCGCGGAGCTCGGCTGGGCCAGGCGGCCCTGAGTGATGTGTTGCAGGCTGGCTGTGTCCCGGTTATCATTGCAGATTCCTACATCCTGCCTTTCTCTGAAGTCCTTGACTGGAAGAGGTGAGTGTTACTGCCTACTAAACTGTAGCTAGTATTGTAGTTCTCCCAGTGGTAGAGATAAAGAGCCCCTCAGGCACTGGAAGGCGTACCTAGCTTTGAGAGCTGTGGGTTAAGCAACCCTCATTTGAAAATCTAAAATCAGAAATGTTGCAAAATCTGAAACTTTCTGAGTGCTTTCATGGTGCTACAAGTGAGAAATCCCACACCTAGCCTTAGGTGATACGTCACTGTCAGAATGCTGGCATTACCTTGTGGCGATGAGTGTAAGGTGTATATGAAACGTAAATGAATTTCATGTTTCTTGGCTCCTATTCCCAAGGTATCTTATGATATGTGCAAAACCCTGAAACACTCCGAAGCTAGCATGTCAAATAAGAGATTCTCAGTCTGTTCCACTGAGGCTGCTTTGCTTCCTTCCTGCCAGGAGACTTAGTCCATTGGCTTAGATCGGTTCAACTGGCCCAAATCTGCAAGCTGGCAGCTTTTGTAAGTCAGACTTTATCGGAACACACCCACACCCCTTCATTTATGTATTTTGTGGCTATTGTTATGCTACTTGGACAGCGCTGAGTGATTGCACCAAGATTGTATAACTTCTAATGCTTCAAATGCTTACTGTCTGGCTCTTTCCACAAAACCTTTCTCTAGCCTCTAGCCTTCAGGACTGCGAACTCAGCTTTGACTGCAGAATAGACTCACCTGGACTGCTTTTTAAAAAGCCCAGGGGAGCCTGCATTTTGAAGCTTTCAGGCCATCTGGTTTTCAGGGCTGGTTGGCCACGGCTGCGATGTGTTGAAGGTACACAGTACACAGCTGGTGAAAGCCTGGCAACAGCTCCAGGGATGGCCAGGCACAAGGGGCTGCTGCCTGGTCACCCTCACAGGACAGCCCTCCATTCTGTTTCTTTTCCGTAACACTTTGGAGGTGGAAATTGCTGAAAATCGGTCCCTTTGCAGTGATCCTTCTCAGTCTTGCTCTTTGCCTCTTCCAATTCTTCTGATATTTTATCCAAGTCTGAGTGGCACAGTTATTTGAACAATTTTAATGGGACTCATTTGTTCTTTTTTTTCATTCATCTCTTACTACCTGGAGAACCGATTATGAATAATACCGAGTTTTGCTTCTGAGGAGGCTCAGATCTTGTGAGGGAAGACAGACCTGCCTTTAACAGTCTCCCTTACCTGAAATGATGGGAACCAGAAGCGTTTGGGGTTTCAGGTTTTTGATTTTAGAATACTTGCATCACATTATGAGATATTTTGGAGAATAGACCCAAGTCTGAATGTAAACTTCATTTATGTCACATATTAGACATTGTTTTTAATTTATTGCACAAAGCAGGATTTCATCCTGTGGAATTTCCTACTCCTTGTATCATATTGATACTTCAAAACATTTCAGAGTTTGCAGCATTTCAGATTTAGATTTTTGAATTGGGACGTTAGACTTGAACAACAGGCTGTGAAGATGCCTTAGAGGATGCTAGCACAGTGGCGGTGGAGGCTGGAAAAGAGGATCCTGCCCCTGCTTGAAAGAGGAGAAAGTGAAGTCTTCCTTCCAGCTTAGAGAAGTGATGGGCCAGGGCCAGAGAAACTTCCTTGAGCCCCTTTTATTTGCCAGGTACCATTAAGTGTGGCATTAACAAGACAATGAAGGTCAAACTTTCCCTCTACTGTATAGTGGTAGAAATAGACAAGTGCTCCTGTACTGTGGGGAGATGCGGCCCTGCTGTTGGGGATGCCCAGGAGAGAGACAGAGAGGGAGGGCCCCCAGGGGCTTTGCAGGGGTAGTGACCACAAGCTGGGGGTGAAATGTGATTTCTGTGAGAATCGTGATTGGCTTGGGTAGCTGTGATTATGGGTGAGTAGCGGGAGGCTTCTGGGTTTGAAGAAAGCCAGCTCTCTGCTGGCTGGATTTGTGATCGTGGCCAATTGTTTAATCTTTTTTGAGCCTCAGTTTTGCTGCCTGCCTAGTAGAAGCCATTGACTTAGTTCACCAGCATTTGCCAAGGGCCCACAGTGCACTGGCAGCCTGCAAGGGTAGCAGGGGGTGTGGGCTTCGGTGTCAGTAAGTTCCCTGATGCGAGGACCATCCCAGATTGCAGTGCCCTGTGGAAGAGTCCTATGCGGGGCCTCCCTTCCTCGCCCACCTTGTCAGCGCCTCTCCCCTGCCTGTCCTAGGCTCCCTGTGCCCCACCCCTGGGCTTGCTTTCCTGTGCTTTGCTGTCACACTGCAGCCAGTGTGCTCTGCTGTGACCCACACTCTCTGCTTTCTCCCCGGCTGCTGGTATTCCCTGCAACTTGCCCAGCTGCTATGTCCTCAGGCTCTCCCCTTTCCTACTCCTCAGGCATCCTCAGCCCTCCCTGTCCCTCTCTGATTTGCTCTCCACTGGCTTAGGACATAATCGGGCCTCTGTGCATAAATGGCAATTAAATGGGAGGGTTTGTGTGCAGGACTGCAGTGGGTAAGCCACTGTTAATACAGCAAGGTTGGAGAAGAGACAAGAGTGGGTAGGGAGGGCGCAGTTCACATTCAGAGGCCATGTGGCGGCCAGAGTGTAGTTTGTTGAGTGAGAGAAGATCAGACATGGAGGCCAGTGAGAGATTAATATGGGATGTGAGGGATCAGGGCTGCTGAGAGGACCGCGGGGAGAACATCCCTGGAAGATACGTGGGACTGAAGCTGCTCCTGGTGTTGTTTCTGCTCATGAGAAGACGGCACGGAAGTGCTTCTCAGGGTTGAAGCCGTGCCAGCTGTCCCGCTGTCATCTCCAGGGCATCCGTGGTGGTACCGGAAGAGAAGATCGCGGACGTGTACAGTATCCTGCAGAGCATCCCGCGAAGACAGATGGAAGAGATGCAGAGACAGGTCAGTGGCCGGGCCTGGGCAGGGGGTGTGGAAGTGGGGGGCTCCGGCTCGAGTGACCACATGGGGTCCGTCACCTCATTGCATCCGCTCCCCAGACTTAAATGATAAGAGAACAGGCTGCGGGGCGCGTCCAGCAGGCCCTGAAGTCAGCTCACCGAGGTTGCTGGACTCCACAGAGGTTGGTTCCCCCCCCCCCCCGCCCCGGGGGCGGGGCGGAAGGGTCTTTAGCATCCAGAGCCACAGCCTTTGAGAAGCCGAAGGTACTGTGAGTGACAGAAGGAACCAAGCCACTTTCAGCTGAGACCACAGGACTGCTGCTGTGCCCACAGGGAGCTGAGGGGTCTCTCCTGTCCCCGCAAACAGTGCCTCCCTCCCCTTCTGACACCCCTTCCTACCAGCTCTCCGGATGCTTGAAGGACCTGCTGGGTGACTTCTTCAGGCCCATTTCCTTTCTTTCTCCTGGAAGAAATTTAAAAGACATCAAGCAAGAAATTTAAAAGACTATTCCTAACTTGGTAGCAAGTGTTTTTTCTCTTGTCTTCCTTCCTTTCTTCCTTCCTTCTTTCTTCCTTCCTTCCTTCCTTCCTATCTTTTTCTTTTAATGGATGTTTTAAACATTTTACTCTTTTATCAGAATCGCCCCTGTGGGAGGACTTGGGAAGAGGCTGGGAGGATCCCAGCGCACAGAGCAGGCTGCAGGCTTTGGACAAGGACAGACAGTGCTGGGTTTGGGTGAGGAGAGGATCTGGGTCTCCCACTGCATCTTAAACGCATCACCGATCTCTTCTGCTGCTCTTCGCCCGCCTGAGCCCAGCTTGGCTTTCCTCGGGGAGTAGGAAGGAGCTGTCCTGGGCCTGGGCCGCGGGGACCATGTCTGCTCCTCTCCAGCTTCCACATTTGGTTGCTGTCCTCTCTCCTGTCCTCTTCACCATGGGCTCTAGGTACCTTGCTTTGTGACAGGCCCCTTTGATTGTCGTTTTAGGGTTTGGGACAGAGTAAAAGTGGCCGTGTTCCGTCCACCGTTGGTATTGTGGTCCTTGTGTCAGTCAGCTCTCTGTCACTCTGACCTGCAGCGATCAGCTTACAAAGACAAAAGGCTGATTTTATCGTACAACTTTGGAGGTTCCTGCCTCCACGTGGGTGAACGCATTGTCCTTAGGTCCTGGCGGACTGGCAGCGCATCATTAAGAGGAAGTGGAGGAAATAAGAAGTAACAGGGTCCCCTGCAAGTCCACCATGGTGCCTCCAGACCTCCCACTGGGTTCCCGCTCTTGAAGTTTCCACCACTTCCAAATACTCTACCCTGGGGGCCAGGCCTTTGGGGGTTACCCAGGGTCTAAATTGTAGCAACACCAGACTTCTCATGAGGCAGCGATAAGGTTCTTAGGTCGCCTGGTTGAATGTGAGCTCTGGGGACACGCTGTGTGCTTGTGGACAGGGATCCACCCTCCCGGGTCCCAGACACTCATCTCAAAACGTCTCGGCATTCTTACTGGCAGCAAGTTGCAGGTCGATGGTCTCCTCCCTGCTGCCTCTCTGTCTTTCTGTAGCAACCACACGTTCACTTTAAGTCCATCTGAGTTTTAGTGAACCAGAACTTCAGGCTAGAGGTTTCTAGATTTTCACAATAAGCCTGGGGTTCCTAAAACCTGGATAAAAGAAGATGCCCTTTGAAGAGCCAGGGCGTTTGTGCTCTTTTATGTTTGTCCCTCTTTATGTCATCTTTCTTTATTAATAAAGTAATTATACAGTCTGATGCTAGATCACATTCTGTCTTCCACAAGATTCTAAGCCAGAAAAGTTCAAAAGCAACTTGGGAGGTGACTTGGAACAGATCCTGTCCAGTCACCTGTCCACTGCACCTCCTTCCTGTTGAGAAAGAGAATCATTTGGTTCTTCAGCAGCAGCCCAGCCGCCAGCTCCTAGGAGCCCGGTGATCTGCAGGAGCAGAGCGGGTGCCCGGGCCCAAGGCAGGGCTGCCTGGTGTTCTTGGTGTGGGCTCAGACGCAAGGAACAGTTAGAGGGAATGAATGCAGGTCATTTAAAATGGGTTGTATGCAGGTTTTCTGGGTTCAGAGAGACACATGGAGTCAGAAGACTTGGGTTTGAGCTCTGGCTCTGTCCCTATTACTTACATGTCCCATGACTGTCAGGTCACCGGGACTGCCTGTGCTTGTGTTTCCTTCTGTATGAAATGATGATATTGGCAAAATCCCCTCCATGTTCCGTGCAGCTGCTTACAGAATGATTGAAGTCTGGGCCCTAGCAAGATTATTAGCCTCCCTAATGATACTGCTTATCTCTCTGCCCCTGAGCACCTCTGGTCAGAGACCTCTGCGGTGGTGGACACCCTTCGTCGGGCCACCTGACCACAGAGGGGCATCGTGGCACCCCCTTCTCTCCTCTGCTTTCCCATTCCCTCTTTCCTGGTGGTGTTCTCGTACTGCCCTTAGTCTGCACCACACTGCCCATTAGTCTGTCTCCCTTTACCTGAGTATCCAGTGGATCTACATTTCTAGACTGGGCCAGTGGCCGCTAGATGTGAGATGATCTGGCTGAGGTCCTTCCTGGTGAGGTATAATAAAGGATGGCCAGGTTTGATTCCTTCTGGATGCTAGTAGCACTCTCCCCTCTCCCAAGCTGTGGCAACCTAAAGACATCCCTAGACATTGCCACATGTCCTCCTTGGGGTGGGGGGCAAAAACGCTGCTTTGAGAACCACAGTTCTACTGATAGGGGTCATCTGTGAGATTAGAGCACATACAGCCAGCTTCATGTTACTATAAGGAAACACCTGAGGCCGTAAAGAGAAGACTGGAGACTGCAGCCCACGGTCCTGCAGCCCACTGGTTTGGCCCCCGGAGAGGGCAGTGGCCAGCAGTGGGGGAGGCCGCTGGTGGAGGGAGTGGTCGCAGGACTCATGCTCACTCCCACTGGGCACCACTTTGAGGTCCACAGAGCCTCTCAAGGTGCCCCTCTCCATGGGCACCCGTGGTGGACACTTACCTACTTATCCAAACTACTGCTGAGGGAGGCTTAACAAAATACGTTCCTCAAATATTTCTGTCATTTTGCCTTTTACTTACCTCCCATTGACTGAATCATTGACCTTGGCGGGAGTAACTGAAAAGACAGCGTACACCTGCTTCTGAAAAGGTCTTGCACTTTGGTGAATTCCCTGACTTAGGGACATCAGATCCGGGTGTTTTTGTGAGACAAGCCGGACTTTTCAGGGGAAAGCCGGTTGTGTGGGGCCTGGCTCCGGAGCCTGGACCCTGTGTTCTTGCAGCTGGTCAGAGCTGGCTTACGGCAGCTGCAGCGCCAGTTGCAGCCAGCAGAGGTCTCTGTCCACTCGTAAGTGACTCGGGCTTCCTTCTGCATGCGTAAATCTTGCCAGGAATCCTGACTGCCCAGACTTTTTCTTCAGGTAGATGGTGTCCTCATGGCTGCCCCGGGGGACCAGCACTCAGGTGCGGAAGGAGCAGGGCGTGGCCCAGGGGCTGCCTTCCCCTGCCAGCGGGAGCCCACGTTTCTAGACTGACCCAGAAGCACGGGGCGGGGTCTCAGTGAGCAGGCCTTGTGGCAGGTGAGGGGTGTGGTGCGAAAGGCACCAGTGGGAGCCATTGATGTAACTTGGGGTCACCAAGGGAGAAAGACCTCCTACCTTGACTTAGGGGCAATAGCCAAACAGCTATAAAGTCAAATGTGAGGCTAGAGCCTAGTGTAAGAGCTGTAATTAAGCTCACATCATACAGTCTGGCATATAGACAGTGTCCTGGAGGTCACCAGTGAGTGGTCACAGCACTCAGAGCATTGGATGTGGACAGTCCAATAGGGGCCGGCAGAACAGTTCCTTAAATTAGTAGAGGCTAACCATTGAGAAAGGATAAAGCTGATTTATCACCAGTTGCCTTTGGTTGTCCTGTGAGCGAATTAACTAGTTAATTGATTTATAGGAACCCTAATTGTTTTCTTCAGGAGGAGATTTGGGTGATAATACGGAATCTGTCACCTTACCCACAAAGGCTCATAACCTTCTTGGGGTGCATGGTTGGAGCTCAGGGAGCCGCTGAGAAGATGATACCACGCTCCAAGGCATCTTAGGCCTGAGACGGAAGGAGAGAGTGGGTGACATAGTGGGAGGGAGACATAGCGTTTGAGGTGAGCTTGAAAAGGGAGCATTTTCTTATTTTGGAAGGCAGGAAGAAGTCTGCAACTGAATATACGTTTCTATGATCAAATAGCACATTGGTATCCTCAGTCTGCCTTAAACCACCCGAGAAGGTACACAAGCTAGCTTGGCGGGCTGGCTGGACACTGGTCTGTATGGGTAGAAATGTTTGTGTGGACAGGGAGGAGGGTGTAAGTGGATCCTCAGTTTATCTGTCGAGCAGAGTTTCCAAACATTCTTTTATTGGTCAGTGGCTCCACCAGCAGCGACCTCTGACCCCCGCCACACTAGGAGGTGGAAGTCAGGAGCCTGCCTTGCCTTTGAACTCTTCTTTGTACTCAGTTGGCTGGGAGCCTTTGAGGTGGCAGAAAGGCTCCTATCTCCTTCCCTCTCCAGCCTTTAACTCTCTGGCTAAGTTAAAATGCCAGTTTCTTTTCAATCTCTGCTTCCTCTCCCTGTACCTTCATGGCTTCCTGTCACGTATACTAAATATCTGTGTTGCAGAGAAGTACTTGGTGATGCCGTGGGCCGATTAGCAAAGAGCCAAAACACTTCTGTGTAACAAAGTTCACCCCAGGCTGCGGTGCCTTTCCTGCCGGAACTAGAGTTAGGCCTGGTTGCAGTCGAGACAGGAGCACAGGAGGCCATCACGCAACAAAGTATGTGTGTGTGTGTGGGTTTGCACGCGCGCATGCGTGTGAGTTGAGTGCTTTATATGTGGGGGAGCCTGAGAGGAGCTCTTAGTTTGTCTTACTCGTATGACATCTCAACATACTGAAGTACAGTATTCTGTTTCCATGGCCACGGAGTTGAAGGGGAGAAAGAAGAC